TTATGAATGAATGTCATTAAAACATTGTTGTAAGGCAATAATTACAAACAGTTGAAAATACGTTTGTAAAACGATTGTAATTTTCCACCTAAGTACACTTCGTGCGCTCGAAGTTGTCAATGTCACATTGCACTTGGTGCTCTCTGTTTAGTGTACAACTTTTACAAGCCTTATAATGGATTTGTAGTATACAATGACTATGCATTTTTTTTTCATCAACGTTGAACTCTCATTTACATTTATATACATGTATACTTGTCACTGATTGGACGATAAATTTTTTACTTTCAGCGTTCGCGACTAGAGTGCCAAATGAATTTAGACGTAGTCTGGTGTGTGGTGATTCTAGTAGTATTGTGTATAGTCGGTGCAGCCGGTTGCCGATTCTGGCTGTCGACTTATACGGCAGTGGGTCCGGTACCATTCCTACCTGTCATGCAAGATCCCTCGTTCGAGGGTATGCTCACGTTCTGGACTTTCGTGATTATTCTACAAGTGATGATTCCTCTCAGTCTTTACGTGACGATAGAGATGGCCAAACTTGGTCAAGTTTATTATATTATGCAAGACAAGGAGCTTTATGATCCAGAAACTGATCGCCCCGCTGAATGTCGTGCCCTCAATATCACTGAAGAGCTTGGTCAGGTAAGAAGAAAGTATTTTACGTTAACAGTATGTTCCGAAAAAATCCTCGAGTGCGCGTAGAGAATTTGTTTTTGATATTTGAAAATGCATAAAATGTTTAAACTTTTACTATATAAATTACTCTTTTATAAGCATTCACGTCGATTACAGAGAGTGAATTTATCATCCAATCGTAATCAATTCTGATTCGGTGTCTTAATAGCTTTTAAATTTTAAGAGGAATGAAGAGGTCAATGTATTCATTTCAACGTATCAATTTATTGACCCTTGCTTAATTTGATATGAAAAATCAGCTATTGATATTGCTGTCACAACATACTTGATTATATATATTGAACTCTTTATCGGTCATTTGTTGCACCATCGAATAAAGAAAAGCTTTACAAAGGAGAAAAGAGTCAACCGATGCGTAATTCATTATTATTTATTTAGTAATAAAAATTCACTGTTTCCTTATTGGAATTTTTCCGCAGATCCAATACATATTTTCGGACAAAACTGGAACTCTGACTGAGAACAAAATGTTATTTCGTCGATGTGCAGTTGGTGGACAAGATTACGCGCACACTGGTGAAGGCGAGAAAGTTATTGCGTGTAAGAGGTTAAAAGAAGACTTATTGATAGGTACCTGCAGGCATAGACTCCAAGAATTTCTCATTCTCTTAGCCATTTGTAATACAGTCGTCGTTAATACTCATCCTCATCGCGATAATATGAACGATAGCGGCGTTATAGAGGAACCACAAAGGAATGGTGCTAGTTCTGATAGGTAATATATTTAACTTAAGAATCTGAGTTTGAGTAACGTTTAGAACCTTATTGATGTTTTGATTCTTTCAAGTTATGCGAGACTAAATAATGATTCGAGAAGTACAACACCAGTGACTTCAGAATCGTCATCTTCAGGGTTACCCGTGTCTCCTCCTACTGTTCGAGAACAAAATTCGGAAGAGATTCTTAACTCTGTAGTAGCCATAGAAGTAACTGAGGCTGATCCAACGGTCTTACGAAATAAAATGTCAAGGTAGGTTTACAAATTACCTACTACATTCGAATCAAGATTATATCGAATAACTTTCCCAGGCCAAAACTACTAAATCTTACGACAATCACAAGTCTAAGTCTGCTAACCAAAAGGCTATCCCCTATGGGTCTCAGAAATTTGGGCTCAGCTTCGGATAGAAATGGAAAATCTTTGGAAAACGTCCCGGCGATTTATGAAGCTGAAAGCCCCGACGAGCTAGCTCTTGTCAATGCTGCTAGAGCTTACAATGTTCGGCTGATTCGACGAACTGCTCAAAGTGCCATTGTTTCACTGCCTGATAAATCGACGCTTACTTTTGAGATTCTAAAGGTAATAGTTTTTTCTGTATTAATTGCGAAAGTGTTTTTAATTGCTGATGGTCATTTTTATTATTTGCTGTTACAGATTCTACCTTTCGATTCAAACAGAAAATGCATGTCAATAATTGTCAAACACCCTCACACCGGTGAGATAGTGTTATATAGCAAGGGTGCAGACACGACAATCCTACCAGCTCTCAATGCCAACGAAGACGACTCGACTATCACGACCAAAGTTCGCCAGCAACTACACTCGTACGCTCGCCAAGGTCTGCGTACGCTAGTCATGGCTCGTCGGTCGCTTACGACCGAGGATTACAATATTTGGCGAGAAAAGCACGCAGAAATCGAGGCGAGCAATAATAATCGCGAACGAAGAATACGCGAATCTTACGCGAGTTTGGAGACACAGATGACTTTGCTCGGCGCGACAGGTATTGAAGATAAGTTACAAGCTGGTGTTCCTGAAGCCATGGCAAACCTTGTATCTGCTGGCATTGTCATATGGGTTCTTACCGGTGACAAACCCGAGACAGCTGTGAACATCGCTTATTCGGCTTGTCTATTTACTCCGGCGATGCAACTGCTTCGTTTGCAAGCAAGATCCAAGTCCGTAGCAGAAAGCTTAATTCATGGGCACTTGGAAGCAATTCAACACGAAAATGCTAGTGCGATGGAAGGAATCCAGCCTAACGATATAGATGCTGCTGAGAGGTTTGCCTACAGAATTGGTAGTCCGTGGCAGAGACAGCGTGCTCTAGTTGTCGATGGAAAAACACTTACGTTTATTCTGGATCCGAAGTCCGGCTTGACGGGGCCATTTTTGGAACTTACAAGGGCTTGTTCGAGCGTTTTAGCGTGTCGAGCTACTCCTTTGCAGAAGGTTGGTTTGACTTTATTTCACGAAGAATATTTTGGACAGAATTCAATAAAAAATACATATATGGTATTTTTTAGGCTTACATAGTCAAAGTAGTAAAAGAACAATTACAGATGCGAACCTTAGCTATTGGAGACGGAGCAAACGATGTAAGCATGATCCAGACGGCTGACGTGGGCATTGGAGTATCTGGACGTGAGGGTAATCAAGCTGCCATGGCAGCAGATTACTCTATTGCCAGATTTCCCATGCTCACCAGACTTTTGTTCATTCATGGCCATTGGTGCTACGATAGACTGTCGCGCATGATTTTATATTTTTTTTACAAGAATGCGACATTCGTCTTCCTTATTTTTTGGTTTCAAGTAAGTAGATGACTTTCTTGTAAGATAATACAATATTTACAAGAAATTACAATAACAATTGTTATTGTAGCTTTATTGTGGATTCTCTGGAGCAGTAATGATAGATCAAATTTACTTGATGTTGTACAATTTAATTTTCACATCACTGCCGCCTCTGATATTGGGCATTTACGATCAAATAGCACCGGCTAGTCTCCTCATAGAGGTACCAAGACTCTATGAGAGAGGACGCCTGGCCTCCGTCTATCAGCCTCATTCTTTCTGGGTGACGATGGCGGATGCACTTTATCAGAGTATCGTTATATATTTCCTAACAGAAGCCGTAAGTAATTCCAACAATTTTTCTTTGTGCGCGTTACATAAATAGCATGACTAATCCTTTCAATTTGCAGGTTTATCACGATTCCGACGTTGACATTTGGGAATTCGGCCTGACAATAACTACCTCCAGCATAGTCGTGATGTTAGTTCATATTTGCATTGAAACCAGGTCATGGGTAAGTGGGATTTCAAATAACTGGAAAAATTACTTATTCCGTAACGACTGGCCTTTAATTATTCATACGTTCACTTTACAGACGATAATTCATGTTGGAGCAATTTTAGCCTCATTTGGCGCTTTTTTCGGCTTCGCTTTGTTTTACAATGCTGTCTGCGTTAACTGCATGGGATTACCTAATTCGTACTGGATTATGGAAATAGCAATTGGTCGACATCTATACTACTTAACTGTTATATTATCATGTGTTGTTGCTTTATTGCCAAGGTAACATCAAATACGTGTGCAACTGGAAATGGACGGTAATTATTAGTGATGCAATGTGTTTCTTTTATTCCAGGGTTTTGTACAGAGCAGTTAAGAGTACCGTATCTCCAGACATGATTCAAAGAGCAAGTGCATCGCATTCGGATAAATCTGGTCGATTATCCAATCAAAAGGTGGTAGCTAGTGGCGAAAGTAGTTTAGTTGCTGGTTGGTCAAGATCTACACAAAATGCAACCATAAGGTAACATACTATGTGCTAGTCAATTAGCAATGACATCAATCAATCAATAGCAGTCACTATTAATCTTTTATTTATGTTCAATGCTATGTGTGAGAATAGTTGATTTTGTTGTAGAACTGGAAAACACTCAGGAAAAGGCAACACCTTAACGACCATCGTTGCATGACAACACTTTAAAAGTTAAAGCTTGTGGCTCTTTTTAAATACTTGAAAAAAGACAATCTTTATCCACGTTGAAGAGAAACTATAAAAATGAAATGTTGAAAAAGCTTTAGAGGAGACAACAAATTACTGTATGATATCCTCAGAATCATGTGAACACTGTTATTGTTATTACTTAAATCAAGTGGCCTTAATCACAGACTGCTGTTGATTGCATTTATTGGCTGTGATTTTTAGGGACCAAGCTTCAGTTTAAAATAACATTATCATTCGATCCACAATTTACACAATAATCAGTGATGCATCGTTTTTTTCTATTAAATATTATTAATATAATTTACTTGCATGCTTCGTCGGAAAGTGTAATTATTTAATATGTATGTTAAGTGTTCATGGAATAGAACATTAATCTAGTAGAGAGATTGTAAGACGTATTAAATTGTGAAAGATTTAATACATTTTTTTACTTTATGAACATAATTATTTTTTTAAATGTCATTTCACATAATTTGCGAGTGTTTCGTATGTATATGTATGTATAGTAGTCTTAAGTTGAATCAGAGTATTATTATTTTTCATTGATGATACCGTTAAACAGATCGACGTGAAACTGAATATACACGCACCGTAGTTGGTGTAAATGCTGAGATAAGTTAATGTTGAACGCGGAGAATAGTTAAATATTGTATGGAAAGTGTTACTTGTAAAAAAAAGACGAATATATATTTATATTAAAACTAAACGATTTTTGTAATTTTATGACCAAAAAACTTTCTGAAACTACCTATAATCACCAATTACAATTTTATGCCAATAGCTCTTATTTCTGTACCCAATATTACGTTTTTTTAATTATTATTAACACTATAACAAAAAATATTTATTTTAAAAATAATAATTCTATTAGTCTTGAAGAAAAACGCAAAATATAATCTAAATGAGTAAGTTTCAATTTTATCTCTTAGATAATGAGTAAAGATAAGAATGGTGTAAAAACCATGAATAAGACTGGCATGGGGGAGGGAAGCGATTAGACCTAATCCGCCTTATAATCCTATATTACGTAGGTAATCAGTAGCAGACAACCAGCATTAATCGCTTTTGGAATAAGCATTAGATTATAAACAAAATAGATAATAGTGAGTGATTGGCACTTCCTATGCCTGCAAACTGCACTTAGGTTGTTTTGAACAAAAACGTAAATATTACTCTTTACCGTTTTCCACAATGAATTGTATAATTTCTAAATTTCGTGCGGTGTATAGCACACCTTCGCGTACAACTTCAAAGATACAACAAAAATGGCCTGAATAACGGCACCGTCGAATGCTTTACAAAGTATCCTGTTGGAAAAGTATCTACCTTAAGACTAGTTTTCTCTTTTTTTAGAATCTTCAAGAAAATATCTAAATTTTATTTCAAAGGGGTCATCGCTTCCAAGACCAAAAGGAAAAAAAATTCCAAAATCGTATAGGTTAGTAGTAATAGTTAGCTGTATCCATGGGTACGCTTAAAGACAGGATGCATACACCACGTTCTCTTGGGTGCTCACCAACAAAGAGAGCAAGCGAGATTTTCTGAAGGTGGGGGAGTATCGTCGCGTAGCTTGGGTTCCACGCGTTCGGCCGTAGTGTTCGTCACGGGTATACAGCAACGCAGCAGCAGTCTCACACAGCGATGAGCTAGCGTCGCGTCGGCTTTGTGCGCTGCTCTCTCACTCGTCTTGTTTTGCCGTTCACCAGGAAAAACATCTCTCATTAAAAGACAGAGAAAGAAGAAAGAGAGAGACGCGAGCATACGAGTGGTGAGTGTACTAAACTTTGTTGCTATCATTTGATCCTTCTTCGGCAGTCGTCAGTCAGTTGTTCCATTCAACGGGGTTGCCAAAGTGCAGTGGTGTTATCAGGACAAGTGTATGTGTGACATGTATATGCATCCACCTTGTGCAGTTAGTCGCGTGATATCTTTGTTACCGATAAATAAACGTATAAGTTTTCGTGCACTAGTTAATCAGCTGCTTTGCTTGCCAGTCTGTTTGCTTATATATATATATGTGTGTGTATATATGTATATATATAAGCGTGAATGTATGCCTGTATGTTGAGCGAAATTTAGAGCGACCGAGGATGTCCAATTGTGTTTTTACGTAATGTTACCTCGGACTCGGGCGATAATAATAAATACACATTTCGAATGCGCGCTGTTAGACGACGAGAGTGCAGCGGAAAACGTTCTATTCATGTCAGTCAATTTCTATATTTGCATATTAGACTGGGCGAGTCACGTTGGAAATTTCTTAAGTACTCATTCATTCAAAATTTAGTTATATAATGTCATGAAATTAAATATTTTCCTTCGATCTCGAACTCGCTGCAGTTGTTTGTGACTTCCTTTTCTTCTCGAGAAAATTATGTATAATTGATGCGCGATCGAAGAGCAAAAGTAAAGTAGGGCTGATCGTAAACGCTCTACTGCAAATGCAACAAGTGACTGCCGTGGGAATAGAAAAAGTCGGCTCGATATTACGAATGACAAAATACTTGTGCAAAGGTATGCAAACGGTACAAATGCATTGCAAAGCGTCAGCGAGCGAGAATTTCAATGTAGGAAATGTTTTTCCTTCGTGTATCGATTTTCCCGAGAAAAATTCTCTCGCGAGGCAAAGTACAGCTTCCGCAAGCCACTTTCGCGCCTCGAATTATTTCCAGAGCCATGCGAGCTTCGGTTATGAGCCATTTGTCGACAAGGTGTACGCATCATCGGATATATCTCCTTTTTTATGTTATTGCTGGCGCGCGAAAGAACGGTTATTTATACACTTTCACTGACTGTGCAGCGGTATATGCGATTCTAGTCGTAAGACAACAACGAAAGTGACGAATGCCGTGTGGCAAGTTAGAATGAACGCCACGATTGTCCAAACACAATATTCGAATGTGTATTAAGATTGACATTGCCGTTTCGAAAGCATAGACACGTGCGAATTGATATTGACTCTCTGCCGCGCGAGCATTTGGTAAACAAACCTGACACAGTTGCGCGACGTTTTAGAGCGTCGTGCCTTTCGCGGAAATAATTTGAATTTCAGAAAGAATAAAAAAAGAACAGCGATCGAAACCTTGAAATGGAATTCGTAATTTTACCTCGGCAATAATATTATTGGCAATCACAATTTTATTTCAGTTGATCTTCCTCTTTTCCTTCTCTATCCTCGTCAAGGAGTTTCTCCGGAATAATAAAGAAAACTCGTCGTCTTTTTTTTTCTTGAAGATGCAGTGCGTGGCGGGAATTGGCTAAAACAACCCATGTTCATTAGGACAAGGATGCGGCAGCGGCAGCAGAGCTCCAAATACCTGCAGGTCACGTGAGAAAGTTATGATTTCTGCTCGCTGACCGCTTCAGGTTTGAAACTTTAAAGTCGAAAAAAGTGCTGACGCGTGAGAAAAGATGACGGTGTCTTATACAGCGGAAGTTGCCACGTGCAGAGGCTTTGGCTGCTTTCTCAAACTATTGCTCAGGTGAGTTTTTTTTTTTATGGCATACGACATCGCGTAGATTTTCTTTTTAGTAGATGCTAATTATCGTAAATGTAAGACAAACATTTAAAGCGGCAATCGTTAATAATACGGGCAAAATTTTCGGCTGATGAGAAAAAAAACAGGTTGAAACTCTTTCAACTTGTTTCCTTTTTTTCTGAAATGACGCCAATTGCGATTATCGAGAATCGCTTCTCGGGTTACTGATAGTTAGTGTGAAAATTGCAGCAGACAAATCGTAAAGTTTTTTTAACGGATGATAAAAAGAAATTATTGGCTTCGATTTCTCGGACTTCGAATTCTCGTTACTAGATTTTTTTTATTTCGCGGAAACCTCATTGTCTTCGACTAATAAAATCACACTAACTTCTTTTCCCTTAAAAGATTAATAGAAAAAAAAACGACCGACAAATGCACAAAAATGCAATGGCATTACGATCGATCAAATCGAATGAAAAAATATTAACATTCATAGATAGGAAATTGGATCCGACATGTTAGAAGAGTATGCAAGATAATCACATCTTTACACATTCGTGTGTATATGGTTATAATGCATAATTATTGTCGGCGGCTTGCAGCTAGTCAAGCGGCACAAGGTCATGTTATAGCTGGCTACTATCTCGCGCGTAAGCTTGATTATACGTTTAAATGACATTTTTTTTATGTCGACGACGAGCTCGTCACTAAATGACGCTACTGTCCACTTTTCTTGTTCAAACTTTCATCCCAATACGTCACTGCGACTTTCGGCCTCGGCTAATTTCACGTCAACGCGATTGTTCGAAATTTATGACGACTAGACACGCTCGTGATAATTGTTCTCGCGATTGTGCGACACTGTTGTTTCTGTATGAAACAATCGATTTCTTTTTATTCGCGATAAACGAGAACGAATCTCCCAATGACGGTACGATATTATTTTTTCTTGTAAATAAACTTGTCAGGGGGATCCTTCTGTGATGACAGAAACCAGCGATGTATGTGAAAAAATTGGATATTGATAATTATAATCTGTCTGAAAGAAGTTTGAAATTAACGTAATTTTATCTCGCGGAATAAACTTATTTTATCCTTTTTTTTAACGTCTCCATATAGACTCTCGAATTAATATTATTTTGGAATAATCTTGAATACAAGAACGAGATATTCAACTGAATGTGCAAATATATCTATCCAGTAAATAAATTACTACAGCTTGAAAAGAATCGTTCAATAAATAACTAACAAGTAATTTGGTTTGTACCACAGCCAAACGATTTCACTCGTGAAATGACGTTCTTCCTCAATTTCAGATGGAGAGCCAGCGTTTACAAGCTGATATGGACAGATCTGCTACTATTCCTCATGATCTACTACTCGTTATCAACGTTGAACCGTTACGGCCTCGACGAGGCACAGAAAAAAGTATTCGCTCGAGTGGTGGAATTCTGTCGGAAGCACACGTCATCAAGCCCCTTGTCATTCGTCTTAGGTTTCTACGTGTCGGTGGTGATGAATCGTTGGTGGAGTCAATACGTGTCGATACCATGGCCCGATTCGATAGCCGTATTCGTCTCGGCGACGATCCACGGCAACGACGAACGTGGACGTCTTATGAGGCGAACTATTGTCAGGTTTGTGACGATCAGATGAATTGAATCAAAGTAGAAATGATGAATCACTTGCACGTGTCTATGCGTGTGCTCAGGATGTTGATTAGTAGATTCGCGTGCTCGCAGAGAACGGAGAACGTTTGCTTTGACCTTTCATGAGTACATTAGATATTGCTATTGCTTTCCAAAAATTGCTCTCGAATGGCTGGCTTCTTTAGAATAGACAGCACGAAACATTTTAATCAGGACCTTGATGTTTATGAAAGAAAAAATAAATTGCCCGGTACAAAAACGGCATGTTATTTTCAGTATATATATTTTCGCTTTTTTTTCGTGCTTAATAATAATTATAACGGTCATTCATTTTTTGTCGAACACACGACCTAGATGATGATATCTATTTATTTTCGGATCATTTTTCCAGCTCCTTACTTTAAAAAGTCAATTTCTTAATAACTGCATAATTATTTTAAGAACAACCTACTTAATTTAAGTACTTTTGTTGTAGTATTTAAATTCATAATGTTAACAAATGAATATTGTTGCTCATGAACTGTCGATAATTTAACAGTATTATGAGTCTGTAATTCTTTTTGACATGTTTCCTCGTAAGCTTGCGTAATTAGCGAGACGTTTAGCCTACGATGTGACATTGTCAACAATATTTAAAATTTTATAACTTTGTTCATTTTTTTAAAATTTTATCTCTAAAGTAATATGTTAAATTTATGCAGATGATTATTTACTGGCATGGTTAAAGCAAATTGTTAATTAAATCGAGTGAGAATTTATTTTCTTTCAAGCATATTTATGCATTAGAAATTTGAATATTTTTTTTATTAATGATCAAGACTTCATGCAGACGTTAGTGACTCATCGAGTATACCAATGTAATCATAGAATTAAATAAAACCACAACTCTTGCTCTCTGCTTTATACCGAATAGATAACATCATCAATTTCTAATGCGGTTCCGATGTGTGGTGCAATCCAATTCCAATTGCAATTCAATAAAACGTTGCGACTGTATTTATCATATTATGCAATTTGTATATTTGGATCCTATTTAATTATTGCGATCAGATTCAGGATTGTTCGTGAAACTATTTTACTACGAAATTCTTGCGATGTCAAGCATATTACCATTGCGCTTTGAATTGTAATCGGTGAGATAATTATGACATTAATTTTCATTTCAGATATGTCTGTGTGTGCCTTACCCTGGTGTTGGCGAACGTATCACCACGTGTGAAGAAGCGGTTTCCCACATTGGAGCACTACGTAGACGTGGGCTTACTGCAAGAGAACGAGCTTGCAATCTTTCACAGTCTCAACAGTAAATTTCCAAAACCAAGCAAACATTGGCTACCAATAGTGTGGGCATCGAGTATTGTAACTCGTGCACGCAAAGAAGGTCGTATTCGAGATGATTTTGCGGTCAAAACACTCATCGACGAATTGAATAAATTTCGTGGTTCCTGTGGCAGTCTCATTCATTATGATACCATCAGTATACCCCTTGTCTACACTCAAGTCGTTACCATTGCCGTGTACACATACTTTTTGACGAATGTCATTGCTCAACAGTACATCGAAGTTGAGGCGGAAGATATGAGACATACCGTTGATATTTACTTTCCTGTTTTTACCGTTCTCGAGATGTTCTTTTATATGGGTTGGCTCAAAGTCGCCGAAACTCTCATCAATCCATTTGGCGAAGATGATGATGACTTCGAAGTTAATTGGATTGTCGACAGAAACTTGCAGGTTGGTGCTAGTATATAGTATGTGTATATTATTTTTGGTATTTCCGTAGTTTATTGGTTCATCATAAAAAATCATACCGATTTTACATCGTAACAAAAAGAAGATAATGCAATTAAAATAATAATTTGCTGTTCGTACTATTGTTGTTATAATTAAAATTAATTGATGTTTTAAAACTTGTTGCGTCCAACTATTACTTATGTGGTATTGATCATCTCGAAATTTACAGCACTTGTGATCTGTAAAAGTCAGCGCAAGCATAAATTAACAACGCGCTAACTCATATATTCAATGAACTTGTGTCTCTTACCGGCAATTTATCAAATGATAGTTTATTGACCTGGCGCAGAGCTTATTTTATATAGTACTACACAACGAAGCTCTCGTACGTACTCTCGTGGTGCAAATCTTTTAATTTGCTTTTTTGGCTGTTACATGTGTTGAGTCACAAGCTCAACAAAGCGTTATGCATGCTATTTTAATGGATAAAAAAATACTTTAATATAAAAGTACTTTAGTAAAACTAAATATTTTTACAGGTTAGCTACTTAATAGTCGACGAGATGCATCACGAGCATCCTGAGCTTCTTCGTGATCAGTATTGGGACGAAGTTTTCCCAACGGAATTGCCATACACAGCCGCAGCCGAGCCATTCAGAGAAGAGCACCCCGAGCCGTCGACAGCAGGCATACAATTATCAGCAGCTCAACAGGAATTACAACCGTCGTCCGTGCGAATCGACGAGATGGAAAAGGAGTATGCACAAAAGTATGGAAACGACATGAACGACGATGCCATATCGGGTATTCATTTCATTGCCGGTGGTGGTGGTGGTGGTGGTAAAATTTCGAGGTACGTTTCTGTTTGTCATTTAATAAATCGGCTTGAGATAGAATTCTTGAAAAACGTGTGCAATCTGCAGGAGTGGAAGTCGTGTAAGTAATCGCGATAGAGCGATAAGTACGGGCTCGACGCCAAGTAATATCGGTGGCTCGTTGACAAGGATCAACAGTGTCACAAACGTACTTAAACGGATATTCAGCAAAGACGACAGAACTGACGGTACTAAAACTCCCGGTAGGATTACCAACTCCATTTCGTCTAATTCCTTGAAAGCTAATGGTCAGTTATTATTTCCATTCTCCGTTGTTTCTTGCATTTTGTTTGCACTTATCAAAAAATAAACATCATTTTCAGAAAGTGGACGTGGAAAGATAGGCGTGATTGAGGAAGTGGACGAGCAATTAACCTCACTACCGACGCGACAAGAAAATTATCCACACGTACAAAGTATTTTTGCCCAAGGTCCACCACCACCTAGTGCACCTATGGATGTACCTGGTAGTGCACCTACAACGCATAATGGCGGTACCATCTTGTCGACTAGTGCCCCTGTTGCCGGACTCAGTGGCTCGGCTGAAAGTGCGGGCTCAACCTCCGGGACTGCCAGGTACCATGGCACGAGGTATAACGAAAGCGATATGTGATATATAATTTATTCTGCTAATTCTATTCTACACTTGCTTACTTACTGACTTTATGTATACATGGTGAACGATGTCTTTAGGTTGAAGTAACACATGCGTAATGTTACTATAAGCTTGTATACTGTATATATTTGTACTGTTAAACGCGAGACTATATAGCTAAACTGAAATTTATTCTATCAATGTGATTGAGATGAGATTTGAGATAATTTTTCTAATCGTAATTTTGTACCGTGTATTATTTAATTATTAAAAGTATTATTTTCACTTAGTCTTAGTAGCTTGATTTCAATAACAAGTTTCAACTCTATTACTAATTTATTTTCGAAGGCTTTCTGTGTCACGTATACTTTACAACTATTGGATTAAATATATTTTTTTATATTTATTATAAAAAAATATAGGCAATAAAATATTGCAGAAAAAATATAGGAACTGTAAAGAAAAGAGTTGAAACTTCTGTGCACGTTCATTCGTCCCTTTTATTTCCTCTATACCTTCAACTATATCTCTCTCGCTCTTTCTCTCTCTCTCTCTCTCTCTTTCTTTCTATCCTATGCTTCAACCTTTTTCTTGATTAGAAAAGAAACAATTAATATGACATTGATTGAAAATCTATTACAGAGCTCGGATGTCAGTACCAGCAAACGTCTTTAACAATACAAGATATCATCGGGAGCGACGCGACAGTACACACAGTACGAGTTCAAGTTCGAGCGTAGATGATGAATTTGAGAAGCTTAAATTTGAACGTAACAAACTGCGTAAAGAAAAAGTCATACGCAAGCTCAGCCGCACTGTGAGTAATCGAGCAAGTGGTGAAGTACCATCGCTCGATGCCAATGACGCCGAAATGCTTCTTAGTGAATTAGCCACATCATCCAGACGATACTTACATCCATCAGATTGTGAAGACAAAGACAAGGAGCTTTAGTAGCACAATTTAGTCAATATCTCACATGTTATTTTTCTATTTCATTCCACTGGCTGAATTCTAAGAAAATTGATGATGTGATAATCAAACCATAGTGAAACAAACGTTTTCATGGAATTCTCTTTGTTAAATTATTGCGAAGCCATATACTTAGCATGTTGAGTGAAGAAGACAATACAATTTTACGACAGTATTTCTTCTTTAATGTGTATATATTTATATAGTTATATTCAACGAATAACTTTTTTGTCACTTATTAACCAGCGAGCGTCTAAGCTTTTATACACAAACTTTTTTTTTCTTTTGATTATGCGTATTTAAAAGAAAAGGTATCAGTGCATTCATGCTCAGTAGTGTCAAAGATGCGCAGAACTATATGAATCAAATACAAAGTGTGCAATCACGTGATTCAATTACGAAAACTCGGAATTTAATAGATTGAGCGAGAATGGTTACTTGATTTTTTTTTATTTTCGTAGAATGCTTTTACATATCTAGGTAAATTTAGATATTTTATTATTTAAGGACAATAAACAGCATCGCCGTTTATAAACAAGAAGTTTGAATGTATTGTAATTAATTTAAAAAGTTTCGATAATCAAATAAAATATAAGATATCTTGATAACTTCTAAGGCGCATTGATGGAAACTTAAGGTGCTTTACATTAAAGCTTTATACATGTTTACTTAATTATGTTATACAGTTTAAATATGCCAACTTTTTTTGCAAATATCTATCACTCGTTACAAGCAATTTTCTAACTTTTGACAAAATAAGCCTTACGAACAATTTGCGAAAGTATATTTGAAGGAAGCTTAAGCACATTTACGAATTAAATAATTTTTTATAAAACTTTTTTATCGAAATGGCAACCCAAAATAATTTTAACATATAAGTATATGTATGTAAGCACAAAAGTTTTACTCAATAATAATTTTAGAGACGTGACAAAAATAGCAAATTGTTATTCCACGTGCACACGTCTTAAAACTTTCAATAGGCAAAAACGTAGCGAAGTTTATTATGTATATTTTTACTAGTATGTTGAAACAGCGTAAGAAAAATTTATTTTTTACTACACGTTTTAAACAGCGAGCAAAAGTATCTTAAATACAATTAATAATAATAACATTCCTACGACTATTTATGAAATGGTGTTCTGATATTCAGTATTCTCATTAAAACAATAAGTATTCAATACATATGTTGTTTTTTTATTGCCTTCAAAATTACATTCACCCATATAGCACAGATAATATAACGCTAACACTTCTACCTTTTAATCCTTTTAATTTTCAGGTTTCCATTGAAGTCTTTGCAAGCGCTCTTAATAATTTGATGTTTTCATATATAGGTATTCAACTAGGGCATTTTCATTACATACATCATATCCAGCACCGGACTAAAATCTTCAGTACAGAGATAACAAAACAATGCTTCAACCCGCGGAAAAACGAAACATTTGTTTCTAAAAATATCGCATTTGTGGTGTTACTTCACAACTCTTCGTGATTTTCAAAAAACTACTTATTTTTAAATCGTAATTATATGATCGGTTCTATAGTTTTCTTATGGGGCAAGAGCCTCATGGCCTGTCTTTTCCTTCTTCTGTTGTTTCTCAACCTGAAAAAAGAATTTCCAATATGAGTGTATTTATTTGATAAAAATGATATTAATTTTGTCAATTTATAAAATTGTTTCAGACGAAATGAAACGTAAAGTTATAAAGCAATCAACTATAACATTTTTTTGATTAAATTTAGAATGCTTCTTAAACCAATCGTAACATTCGTAAGCTGAAGGCTAATTTTTTCAACGACTGAAAATATCAAAATTGAATATCCTTTGGCATTTCTCCTCTCACTTTGCCGGCATGAGCCAGAGAACCATGAACCTTGCCACCGAGAAGATTGAAAGACAAGTCCAGTACAATATGTCAAAGGTAGCTCGCTGACGCGCGTTTTGTCATCTACTGGGATGCTATTGCAATAGAGTTAGATATCAGCATCCTGGTATTCTGTTAGCTTGTTCCGTTCAAAAAATCAGTGTTATATAAAATGTAAACGTAGATTATCACGATCGGCAAAATTATTTATTTAATAGTTGTGTTGTTATAATTTTGAGTAGCAAATAAAAAAAACTATACTTTTGGGGTTTGTCCTCTCACTTTGTCGGCATGAGCCAGAGATCCATAGACCTTGCCACCGAGAAGATTGAAAGACAAGTCCAAGATAGTCAAAGGTAGTTAGAGGTTATTTTTACGATTGATTTCGACGGTCATAAATATTGTTAAAAAAGAATTATTGAAATGTATTTGTTTTTTTTTTTATTAAAAACATAATATTAACTTACAATAGATAAAACGTTTATAAGTTGGCACTACTCATCATCCTACGCCCTTAGTCATGAAAACCATGATCAATTCAAGTGCATTTTCGTAAGCTAAGAGACGCTAGACAATGGTCAAGTGCTCCGCCTCTTATTTGTTGACCATTTGCCGTGGCAATAAAAACTGTATTATTCAGTGAATCCAGTTATATCATATTTATTGTAATTATCAATCAGGACCTATGATAAGTTGCTAAAAAAATTCCTAAAAACTAGTGTATCGCTGGAATTTTCATAATCGGAAGTGCGTTCGGGAATCGCATTTGCTTGTGTATGGCCTCATCATCGAAGTAATATTTAGTTGCTGAGTTAGCTCTCAGTAGAAAGATGTGTCCCGAACTTGATCCGCGTTCTTTTATGACAGTATTTATGACCGTCGAAATCCTAAAGAAAAGAAACCGTGAAGCTCACCTCTTATACACGGGCTCTTATGATAGTGGAAGGTATCAATCGTGATACGCTTAGAGTACAAACTTCGAAAAAATCCACAGAACTTTTGATATCTAACTCTATTGCAATGGCATCCCAGTAGATAACAAAATGCGCGTCAGCGAGCTACTTTTGACATATTGGACTTGTCTTTCAATCTTCTCGGTGGCAAGGTCCATGGTTCTCTGGCTCGTGCCGACAAAGTGAGAGGACAAACGCCAAAGGTAAATATTCAATTTTGATATTTTCAGTCGTTCAAAAATTAGCCTTCAGCTTACGAATGTTACGATTGGTTTAAGAAGCATTCTAAATTTAATCAAAAAAATGTTATAGTTGATTGCTTTATAACTTTACATTGCATTCCGTCTGACACAATTTTATAAATCGACAAAATTAATATCATTTTTATCAAATAAATACACTCATATTGGAAATTCTTTTTTCAGGTTGAGAAACAACAGAAGAAGGAAAAGAAGACAGGCCATGCGAAGAAACGCATTCAATTCCTCAAGGTCCCAGCAAACTGGCACAGCCTTAGTACCAATTTATAAACGTTTCATCTATTGTACGTAAATATTATGTTTTTAATAAAAAAAAAAAAAACAAATACATTTCAATAATTCTTTTTTAACAATATTTATGATCGTCGAAATCCAAAATAAAATAAATCGTAAAGCTCACCTCTTATACACGGGCTCTTATGATAGTGAAGGTATCAATAGTGATACTCTTAAAGTGCAAACTTCGAAAAAATCCACAAAATTTTTTAGAAAACCAACACACATGTAAAATATTTATTGCAGAATCTCAATCCAAAGTTTAAGCTAAGGTCGCCATTGAAAATTGTAACAAAATCAATTATAACGTAAATGGAAACTCAAGTTTGCAGGTTATGTAGGGAGATACGTGCGCAACGAAAATTGTACGCAACAAATTGCAGCCAACTTACGAATTCAAAATAACTCAACTTTGCAACATAATCTCAATAATGATAATGAAATTATACCTTAACTTACAAACGTTTTTTTATATTATATTTAACCTGAGTAATATTTTAGTGGTATCTATTGGCTAATAATTTAAATATTTTTTACACTTTTATTAAAATATACTTGTTGTATTTAAGTTTGTCTAATAATTTGGAAGTTATGTTAAGCATTTCTCATTTCAAGTTGGCAACAGCAGAAAATCCACTAGAAATGGCTTGTCGCGTACGATTTTAGTGTCTGTTGGAGATTAATGTATAGGTTAAACGCAAAAGAACACCAAAAAGTAAATTATTTTTATAGAAAAACAAAAAAAAAGCAGTAGTACAAAACGATAATGCTGCAACTACTGAAAATCGCTTCTCTTTCGACGAATAGAGATGCTGCTTTTTATTTTTCACCAATTATTTCTTTTCCTTTCCTTTTCAGGGACCTCCCTCTTTCGATAATAGCTCAGTAGAACCATCCCCTTTTTCACAGTTTTCGAAAAATACGATACCAAGGGACTCATTAGTTATATTAATTGTCGAAATCGCTCTTGATTATATTAAATAGAGAATGCATAATTTTCAAGTTATATAATTGTAGAGAAAGATATATCATTTTAGCAAACATTTTACTCAAGTAAATATACTCCATCGTAATAAGAAGGTAATAATCATTTACCGATCTAGCAGATGATTCTTACGCAATAAATTATCCCTTACAAACAATCGATTTGTACTGCGCTGTTTCGAAAAATATTATGCAAGGGAACTCATTAGCCAATTATCTAAAACACTCGCTCACGTCAAATTTCAAATAGAGAATGCACGCATATATTCCTAAAAAATACATAGTTCTAGAAGGATGTATCACTTAAGCAAGAATTTTCTGCAAGCAAATACTGCCCCCATGTGATAAGAAGGGCTATCATCAATCAAACTATTAGCGGTTGAATGAGGAGACCGACGATATACTCGTATAATATATATCAACACGCTAACTCTATAGGGCCCTGTACATATGTTACGCACTATAAGTACTCGCATACTATATAAGTCTTCGAGCTATTGATTTATTCATAATAATTCATAATGCAACTGCTCAATCTATATTTAATTGATAGTGGAAACTATAGACATAATTCATTGTGGGACTATAATCCTACTATCACTTTTTCTGATTCATCGCTACTTTGTATTAAATCATTGTCTACAAATAATTCAATAATTTAAATTACTTATTTTTACAAAATAAAATTACTTATAATTGATTTCAACGCCGATTTTTTCCCTTACATTTGCATTTTTTTCATTTTTTGGTTTAGCTTTTTTATTTATTCACTCTGCTGTGAGCAATGTATTTGTATTATCAATTAATAAATTTAAATTCAATAAAACTTCTTTTTTAATTGTGAATTGGTACTACTAAAAAATTAAGTTCATATTGCCAATGAAATATTCGCAAGTAATTGTCATTGCAGCTGTGTTGCTAATATATTTTGTCAATAGTCGTTACAAACCTGGTTCGTTTTACAATTATTGGCTAAAAATTACTACTCGTATTCAAGACAAATGTTAGCAGTTGTATTCCAATAGCAATTGCTAATATATCTCAAATACATCCGTCATACTTTTTGCTAAATTTCCGCGATACATTGCCAATTGTTTATATTTTTATGCGGGCGTTAAGTGTTTAAGACATTGGATTGAAGAGAAAAGAGCGTATCTGCGTTTCGTCAACACGTATTTGTTGCGTTTGAGGCGTACTGCAAGAGAAGTCGTAAAATGACCGGAAAACGTTAGAATGCGGCTTGAGCAAGAGTGGGATCTTTTTTGACAAGGGTAAACAGCTTTCAGTTTTTAGAGAGCTTCTGCGTAGTGTACACGTGTGCTTATCGCCTTGTACTCGATTTTGAATTTCAAATAAATTACACTTTCACTTATTTTCCATATTACTCAGTATTTATACATTATTATTACTCATCAAACACATCAACCTAAAACACCAATCCCACGAATGTTAGACCAATTGAGTCTCTGATCTAAGATCATTCCTAGAAATTTAACTTACATTATACATTACATTATTATACATTACATTATTGCATATACTTTATTTTGAATTGTGAAAATGATGTCTTTTATGTCTAAGTTGTTTTTATTAAAGGAATATAATTCACATTTCTGAAGACCAATTCAAGATCTAGCTATCTTCTTTAAGATAAAATAAAACAGAGTAATTACTAGTGTGAGTTTATCAATTATCCTTCCTGTGGTCTATGTCACGTTCCAGTCGCTCGCAATTTTACGTTTCTTTGTAATTTATAATTTTAGACCTTTCAGAAAAATGTGAGCAACAAAGTAATGAAGTCTTTAAAATATTCGCAGTGTCGAGCAAAGGTAAATTTATCTCTTGCAGTGCCCTGGTTTAATTCTCTGCATTATCGTTGCCTTTCTTCCTACACGTGTCCCTCCCTAATTTCGAATTTTATCTCTTGAGTCTTTCTCTTGAAAGATTACCTATATCATATTCATGCGTTACCGAGCGGCTATACCATTCGCGTGCTCAATGCATATTTGTTCCCAACGCTGCGAACGATAATTTTCGAGTCGAACGGACGTTATAAAATTCGAGACTCTTACTGATAATTTCCAAATTATACGGCATATCGCACTATATTTTATTTTGAATTTATAAGCTAAACGATAATACTTGATTATGCGCTCTATATGGCTTATATTCATATTCACATAATGAAATAGTAATCCATCTGTCGTCTAAATTTTTCAGTCGACGACTTTCATTTATTTATATGTATGTAATTTAAGCTATGCTGATATTTAGTTGCTAAATAATTAATTGTATAATGCTTACGTATTTCTATAAATTAAATTGAAGGTTGATCTATAATTATGACAAACGAAATTAATTGACTACAAAGTCGGTAGATAAAAATTGTAGTGTGGAAAATGTAAAGAGGAAATGTAGTATGAACAATTATACATAGCGATTGTATTGGAATTATGACGATATCTGAATGATCTCTGAATCTGGTTCTTTTGCCACTAAGATGAGCTCAACCCATTGACGTGGACACTCACGTATGCGTATTGTTGCCATAATAACTACCCTACAATATTGTAATGCATATAGCGCACAAAGGCTGTTATGTTAGATTCCACTAGGAAACACATGACTTCTGGTCATTGCCAGGTCCATCATCAATTCTTACGGGAAGGCCTGCCCTGGACCGGTAGGTTGGCGTAGCGAACCAAGTGGGTAGGAGAGCCTAGTTGTCGAAGATTATAGCTAAAAACTAGAAGGGGTTAAAGTGGATCGGAGGCTGTGCCTAGCTGAGAACATGTTTAATGTACATGCTAGAAATATTAACATTACGATTGATAGATACACAGAAATTTCTAAATGAATTAAGTTCTTAATGTTAAGGTTTTTTAATTTGTTATGATTTATCAAAGATTCACAATTGCATTTATAACGAATGAATCGATCTAAACAAACCTCTATCATAATTTTTCGTTCCATCAAATGTTTATTCGTATCTTTCTTTTATACTTCAAACGCTTATCAGGCTTTGGTTTTTTTTTTTTTTTAACTAGATTCGTTTAATGTTATATAAATAAAGTCTAAAAATATATTGAGTGTGCATGTTCTAATGAGTCGCTATAGGTAAAGCAAAGCTTTTGATACAACAAATTACATTTGTTAGTAACTTGGTGCTCGTCATAGAAAGCTCTTTTAATTTTCTTATAATATTGTCGTATTTTATTTATTATTGACGTAATAAGTCTATTAACATATAGCATTTATTGTATGTATCGATAGCTGTTTTTTAGAAAATAAAAGATATTATTGAATTTTTATTTTTCATATTTTCTAATACCCTTTTTAAATAAATAAATGAATCTTTCCTTATTGAATTCCTTATTGAAAGTTTTTCTGGCGCATCCATGCGCCATCTGACAGATTTTCTTGAACTATGTAGGCTTATACACGGAACTGGCCTTCTATAAGCATATATATTCGTTGAGGAAAGCCAGTGCGAGAGCTGTACATATACACACGCACAGGCCTACACAGGCTAGAGTCAGTCAGAATGCGATTGAAAGTAATTTGAGTCGACTGTCGAGTCATCGAGAGAGAAAAAAGACAAAGATAACGAGGAGCCGAGATGAGAGAGTGACAGGGCGAGGCAAGGAACTCACGCACAATTTCACAGTTGAGTAATTCTCTGCAAAGTTCGAGGACACATACGGACAACGACAGTGTTAGAACAGCGATCGAGCGATTGAAGTCGTAAAGGAGGTGTGTGAATTCATAGAGTCGATTGAGCGAGCGAAGAGCAGTAGACTGCAACGGTTCTCGTGCTCGAGGTTGAGAAAAATTATCAAAGAGTGTAATGCGCTGAGATGAGCTGGTGCAGGCGCGTGATGCATAGGACCGCGGCGCGGAAATCACGCGACGAACATTTTACGACGCAGCTCGGCCCGCAAATCGGCGAGCCCTGCGCGGCCGCGGCTGCTGCTGCTGCTGAGGCTGCTGCCGTCGCCGCTCTCAGCCTCGATTAATATGTTCAATGGCTCTTTTCCAAAAGAGGTACACGAATAAGGTGCTTTTAGACGACACCGAGCCTCTCACCAGTGTCATCGAGAATGCTAGAACTGTCGATTCCCACACGGTACGTAGATCAGATATACCTTTGGGTATATGCAATCTCACTTTTATTCTTTCTTTTGCTCTTATCTGCCTCCTTGCTTCAAATTGAGATATCCATTTGTGCACTTCTATCTATGGTATTCTACTCAAACACTTCACAGCTCCATATTCTTATTTATTGACTAGCAGTTTTGCATCCCCTACCTTATTACTATTTTTCACATTTTTACTATTTTTAGCCATATTATAATTTATCAAATTTTAGGAGTACGTAATAAAAACCCAAAGAGGACCATTACTTGAAAAATCTTGGCGAGTTTGCAGACGTTACAATGACTTTGTCCAGTTGCATTCTATTTTATCATTATCAGGTATTAATTTGCCATTACCACCTAAAAGAATTATTGGTAATATGGAACCAGAGTTTATAATTCAGAGACAAGCTGCACTACAGGTAATATTATGGTTTATCTCTTCAGATCATCTGCATTATTTTGTTTATGCATCTATTATTATTCTTTGCTCATCTTATACTAATATTTTAGAATTATCTAAACATTGTACTCATGAATCCAATTTTGGCTTCGTCATTATCTGTAAGGAGGTTTTTAGATCCTGAGAATTATACAGCACCACTTCATGGTAAGTTTATTTTTTTCTGTTAAATTTTAATATTCCCTTTGCCTTCCACATTAAAAAATAATATAATTTTATAGAAATAGCACTGCAGCAAGTGTCATTAGCACTACGTAGTGATGCTAATTATGAAGTTGGTAAGGCTATACCTGACATGGGTTGGCGATTGAGAAAGCATTATTACACCGTAAAAAACAGACAAAATCCCAAGCAAGAATTACTTCTGGCATGGGTTGAATTTGGGCCTGATAAACATTTACAAGATAAAGATTTACAAGGTGTTTTCAAAAGTTTAGGAAGTCTGAAACATTGCTACATAGAACCAATGATACATCAACATGTAACTGAAAATGGTGCTTTGACTATTCGGAATTTTCATCCAGATGGTACTTTGCGAGATATTTTATGTAATACTAAGCCAAAGCAACCATTCATTAAAAAATATGGAAATCCAAAGCAAACTAAATCATTGACAGTCAGTGAAATTTCGACTTATGCTTATCAGGTACTCTTAACATAAACAATTTTTTCGTTTGAGTCAATATTTTAACCATGAATAATTATATGAATTTCAAATTACCATTATTTTATTTTATAGATTTTAGAAGCTCTTAGTTTTCTTCACGAAAAAGGATTACCTTATGGACACTTGCATACAGGGAATATTCTATTGACTACTTCTGGAGCAAAACTATTAGATATAGAAAATGGTTTATTAGGTTTACCAGCATTCTACAGGCCATATGTGGTTCAAAGGCGGAAATTACACGCGACGGTAAGTATAGCATTATTAATCGTTTTTAAAAATTCAACTTCTTTTCGTAGTAATAAAATTTTTTTTCGAAATATATTACAACAAATAAAATAAGTATAATGGAAAATACTGCTTTGTTTACTAGGAAACCTATAAAAAATTAGAAATTAGACCTTTCATGTTTTATGTATGTTGCAAGGACTTTGCAAATTTCGTGACAAAAGTATATTGTTATTGGGAAGGAAAAAATACTTCATTATTATATATATATTTTAAATATTATTTTTAAAGTAAAAAAATAATTTTATAATAAAAATACATTCAATAGGTAAATAAAGCACTATTATCCTGTTTAATAAATCGTTTTAAAGAATTTTTTTTGAGTAATCAACAAATAAAGCAGTATTAATTTGTTGGCATATTTATTTCATGATCAACAAAATAACGCTTTTTTATATTTTTATATAGACTCAAGTAGATGTGTATGCTTTTGGACATGTATTATATGAAATGGCCTTTGGAAGGCCTTTATTAGAAGCCACAATTGGAAATTCTGATCTACCACATTGTGATTCAAAATTGAAAAATCTTTTAGAAGTTATATTATCCCACGAGGCCTTGAAGCAGGATCTTCCTTCTGTTGCACAATTGATGGAACATCCGATTTTTGAAACAGCACGAAAAAATTCTCTATCTAATGCGAGTGCGTCTGAAAAGCCGTATTTTAAACTTAGTAGTCATTTAAAAGATGCACTTCTGGAAGCCACAAACAAGGCTGAATCAAGACTGAGAGATGAGCAGAAAGTAGCTAGACATCAGAAAAGACTTGTCAAAGTTCAAGAAATGATGAGCTCTGAAGAAGAAATGAAAAAAAGGAAGCATAAATTGGTAAGCCTCATTTTTACACATTTATTTAAATGTTTATACTGACATTGACAGTTATGAAAGTTTCAAGTATTTATGATAAATAATATACTCGATTCCACTAATGGCGAACGCATTTTAGAAAAAAGAACAAAAATTGGCCCAAGAACGTACAGCCAATCAGTTAAGTACAAATGGTACCAAACAAATAAATGGCAAAAGTCCCGAAAGATCCGACAGCCCAACTAGTACATCAACTGCAACCAGTGTTGGTACTCTAACACCACCGTCCCACGGTATTTATTGCAATATTACTATTAATTAAAAATATTTCAAATAAAATTTGAAACTTCTAATATTTTATTATACTTAATTAATTAATAAGCTGGACAGAGAAGTTGATGGTATAGACTACAATCGGTGGTATCGCGTAGATCATTTGACAGGTTAACATTAACAAATTACTTCAAAATGTTTTAGAAAATGGTTTGGATGTCTTAGAGTACTTATCTATATAAAATTTTTTACTTGATTTGGTTTCGATTATTTTAGCTGCACTTTATTTCACAGCAAACCTACATACCATGCACACAAATATTGTCTTTAAAGTGTTATATATATGTATTTTTTATTTTAGTTATTATTCATTGATATACAATTGCACTATTATCTATTAATCTGAAGAATATAAACGCTTAGATAAGAATTTTATGTTTAGTAATCATGTATTATTATTTAGTATTTAGTATTCAATTTTGTATTAAGCTTAAGCCATTACTCCCTTTAAATATTATTTAAATATTATGTAGTATGTATGATTATATATAAGAATTTAGTAGATGTAAATTTTTATTCAATGTGGAAACATAATTATATTTGTATATTCGGTGTTATTTGTTTAAATTCGCAGGTTCCACTGAAGTGCAATCAATCAAATCCAAACAAGTAAAGAAGGATTCGTGTCCGCCGCCACCTCCAATGCCAGTATCTTCAAATGTATCTGCACCAAAAACACCAGTATCAAATGAAAGAGCAGCTTTATTAGGAAGCATTTGTGCGTTTAACAAAGCAAAACTGCGTAGTGTTGCCAATGGTGTCCATTGACATTATATGTGCTTATTGAAATACAAAGTATACAGATATAGTTAGTTCACATTCCATTTTGAAATTACATGAATGTCGACATCCGAATTGGACGAAATCTTATCAGTCGAAACGTTCTACATTGTACTACTAATAAAATTTCATTGATGGTTTATACATATACGTATGTTATATATACACACACACACGCTGGTGTTAGGTTTTTCGTACGACTGAATTTTGAATTGACGTTTTCTTAAGAGAAAATTAATTGAAATTCATCGCCGTGCTGTGATTTCTGGTTAAAGTACGATTTTCGTGAAAGTAGTGTTAGACTTCCGTATTGAGCCTACACTAAAAACAGAAAACTTAGGAGTATCTAAGAGATGTTAACTATATTCAAAATAATCTAATTGTACACTTCATAAAATTAATATGGACATCGTAAATTTGTAATCGAGATGTTGTATTCTATTGTTCTTGTAGAATAATACAGCATCGTTACTTCTACAACTTTGACTATTGTAAACTTGCTTAAAAAAACCGATTTTTGATGTTTGGATGATGGATAAACAATAACTATAAAACTATTGCTACAATTTTGTAAAACGTTGTTTTCATATACATATAGGTGTGTACGTATGTGTGTGAGCGCGGGAGCAGATGCGTGTGTGTGTTAGTATTTCCATTTAGAAAATAGAAGTAATTAGTTAAATTTGTAAATTCGCCTTCTACAAATATAGAAAAAAATTTAATTTAAAATAAAACAATAAAACTGGAAAACATTCATACTTAAAAATGTAAGAGCTTTTCATCCAAACATTGAAATGGTGAAAAAATAATAGATTAATACTTTTTTGTAAATATTAGAAAAAGATAAAGTCAAACAAATTTTTAACATCAATAATGACTGTAACATAAGTTTTTATCAGCTATACAACAATCTGTTAAAGGTGTAGTAACGTATAAATGCGTAATCCTCCGAGGCCGTCGAAATACGTGCAAAGTTTCCACGGAGACTATATAATACTTATGAACATATTGTGTAGAGAATTATATGCATATAATCATATGAAAATACTTACATATAATAAATTATTTATAGTGAAGGATCTATAAAGACTAATTATAAGAACCAAAATGTTACCTATGTTCTATAGGAATCTTCCAAAATATATTTAAAAAACCTACGAGATTCATTTATATTTATTATAATATTATGCTAACATTATTAAACTTATTGATGTTTTACAAATTTTAACATTTTAATTAATAATCTATTTGATTTATCGATTATAATTATTGTGATATTAATAGTTATAAATATAATAATTTATAGTATAAATGTTTTCTATGTTGATCTTTCTCCAAAACTGTACAAAATCTAGTTGAATAAATTATGACATTACTTACGCACAAAAATCATTACTGCAGTTTAAATAAAGATCAGATATAATGCATTTTCGATACTTCGGGCGCGAGGACTCTATTTACGCACGCTCGGAACAGGAAACGTGCTTCAAATCTCGTTTTGCACACGTCGTATCAAAAAATAAAGTTAGAAAGAATTTTAGTCTCGTGTGACTTCATCTTCGCTCAGGTACAAGCTTCTATACGAGACTCAAATCACTTTATCGTAATAGTATCAAAATGTATTATTTTATCACAATAATGAATTCTTACATATTTCTATCGGCATTTCGTTGTGACGTGGTTAATTGCGAGGTCAAGTTCACTAGGTCATACAAAGTATAATTAGTTAATGACAAATTAGCTCACTGATTAAATCTTACAACTACTTATAGATTATTCTACTTGAAATAGCTTAACACGTTCTTCACATAATTCAGATCCAAAGTAAATAAAAAGGTTTCCAACCTATTGAATGATAGAAATTCCTTTTGATTTTTTTTAAGTTTGTTAATTTGATTGTATTTAATTTGTATCTATTGCATGTATGTTGTTAAAATTATTTTAAAAATATGTTTTATTAATGAGCTTGGCATTTTTTTACATATTAGTATAATAAATAGACAATAATTAACATCAGAAAAGGTATTTAATTATTAGACACATTCAACAATAAATACATAGTATAAGTATAAAGTGATTAATTTTATATGTACAGCATTATAAAACTCATGGCATTGGCGCTATTAACTAGGCAGTTCCTGATAGATTCACAATGTATTTTCTTTAAAAAACTTATTAATATTTTTATCAAAATTGACGAGTCAACGAATTGTTTGTTACGTTTTGTTTATAGCGATTATAAAATAGTAATCTTTACTTAAAAATATGCACATTTACGTGCCAATACCTTTCGGAAAATTCATCTGGTTGTTATAAAAAAGGAATATGTAACGTATTTAAACCTGAGTAACAATTATTTATAAAAGGAACTGCAAAACAGTTCGCTGTATACTATCATTTTAATATCGTTTTTGTATATTCCGACATTTGGATCAAAAAGTTCTTATTACAAAAATATTTCTAATTTCTTTTAACAGTAAATTTTTTTTATGCGTAATATTTTTTAACTCCTGTTCAAATTCATTTTAAAGTTTTCCATCCAGCAAACAAATCGGTCATTCACTCATTGCAGATTCTGTGGCCATTACTTGTGACTAAAACTGGTGATGTTACCAGTTATTACTTTTTTGTCAAAGTTTTACATGAAGCTCTTCTGTTATAGTTTGCAATCTAGAAGAATGATACGTTTCAACTCGTAGTTTATTACAAAACAAATTACATTTTATTAAATATTTATACTGTGTACCTGAAAAGTTCATCTTGAATCCGGTCAGTGATAGCTTTACGAGCTTCTATTTCACTGGCATTTGATTTTTTCAAGTCAGCTAACATTTCACTAAAGTCTATAGGTTCTCCGTAACACAGAGTTACCTTCTTTTTTGTTTTGAGCATATACGGAGGCTCATTTGGAAGAACTTGATCCATACCAAGATGAATTATTGGTACAACTAGTGGTACTACAGGTGATTCAAAAATTAGTCTTCCTACACCCCATTTGAATCTGTAAAAATAGCCTACCTATTAATTAAGAGCTTTTTCAATGTGTAATAGATTTGTATTATGAATAACAGCAAACCTAAGATTTTCTTTGAGCATGTTGACTTTGCCTTCGGGAAAAACATGAACCCAATCTCCTTTTGCTAATTTTTCTATACAAAAATCAATTGCTTCTTGATAAACACCATTGCCTCTTATGACTGGAACACATTTTCCAAGCATAAAGATATAAGAGTGCCAGACATTAGTGAAGCATATGTCATGAGCTGCCAACGACCATCTCATTTTCCGACGGTTCAGTAAATATTTGAGATCCAATGTACCTGAGGGTACACATAGATATGTTAATGATGTTAGCATTAATGGATTAATGAAGTTTATTGCAACAACTTACTCCAGATCCCAGGGTCATCAAAGCAACTGTGATGATTTGATACAGTGATCAAAGGAACTTCTTTAGGTCGAGAGCTCAAGGCTCTTTGGATGATGTGCTTATTGTAGACCGTAGTTTTGTTGAGCCATTCTAAAAATAAAAGTAGACTTTAAGCTAGTTTTGAAAGAATTTTCATTGAAAATATGAATGGGAAATGAGCATAAGAAAGGAGATCTAATTTGAAAATGAAAAAGACAATTGATGACAACAATGAAGTCATGAAAAAACAAGGTGACTAAGCATTTATACAAACAGCACAACCTTGGTTTTGCTTAAAAAATCATTAGGCTATAGAGCGGAAAACGGAATGGAGTAATGAGCGCGTGAGTACGAAGCCACATGGCTAGCAAAATAACTTAAATAATGCATCGTAAGCGCACAAGTAAGATAAGTACATAGGAGGGATTGAAGGCCTGTCGATCGTCTTCGCGAAAAACAGAGAGAAAGAGAGAGACGGAAGGAGAGAGGGAGAGAGAGTAAACGGCGGCACGTACCCATGATGATCTTGGAGAAGAGGCCGACTGCGGCGAAGGTTAAGCTGCTGGCGAAGCTCCACAAGGTGCTGGTACTCCGCAGTTTAGGTATAATCCACTTGATATCGTAGCCCATAGCGAGAGCGAAGAAGCGTCGGCCTGGAGCCGGAGGGTAGCGGCTCGCCGAGGTGGACGGTATTTGGGCTTGCCGTTGCTGGTACTCCTGGAGTCTCCTGGACTCCCCGGGCGAGATGTTGCTGCGACCACCACGGCAGCAGGAAGAGCAGCTGCGCCGGCAGCAGACCAACACAAGGGTAGCCACTAGCCTGCACTCAATTTTCGTGTGTGCTTGAAAAAAGAAGCTGCTCTGAGGCTGTCGCTGCTGCAACTCGCCGTTGCCGTCCTCGTCGTTGTCTTCGTCGTCGTGCTCGCCGTACGCCAAATATCGTCTGCTCTCATGTTACGACGCACCAATCACTGCTGCGTGGAGACGAGTCGCCGTCTCAGCTCTTTTGCTTCGTTTCCTGCACTAATGCTGCCTTCCCCTTTTCCACTGGGACGCTTGCACTGGTTGCTCGCTCTTTTGTAATATGTTTATTACGCGAGCAAGTCACTCGCGCATTCTCGAAGTCGTGTAAGTGAGCGGCTCTACTTGACTGTGCCTGATTGTCTCGGTGCATGCCATCAGGCTCATTGTGCGCATGCGTACAGTTGCGTCAGGTATACGCACATTTTTACTTCTCGTTCTCTCAATCTCTCTCTCTCTCTCTCTCCCTATCTAGATAACTTGCTCTCGTCAGCTATCTACAGTCTGTACTCTGCAGTATGTCTGGTTTGCGCGGGCAATATGTACATGACGTCATCTCGTATCATGGCGCTTTCTTGCGGTGCTGCGATTCGTGCATTTGAATTCAACGAGCTATCGATATTTCACTTAATTTATTTTAACATTTGTCAATGTCGGTTTTTTTTCTTTCGATACACGCATGTATCTACGGATGTACGTCACAACTTTGGTTGTCAGTTATGTTGTATGAAAATGCAAAATACGTAGACGTCATTGTTACGATCTTTGAGTCATTTTTCATTTCACATCGGAGTTTGTAAAAACTTGAACAATAAGTTGATTTTAAACTTTATAATATAAGAAATTACGTTTGTATAACTCACGGTAACTATTATTGGTCTCATATATTTTGTATCTGATGAACAAATCAATTATTTATCGTTGACTGGCTAAGATGTCCGAGTTGTCACTTTTTCTCAGCATTTTTCTACTGATGCTCGTTATTTATTGTATTGTTCACTCACATTTACAAATGCAAATCGATCATTATGAGATTGAATAATAATAGTCATTGATGTAACATGGAAAAACGCAACTTCCTTGAGCCAAGTATTACATGAAAGATAGAAAACGCAATTGCATAATCAAGACGTGTTTTCACTATCCTGAAGAATGATTTGACTTCAATTTTGATCATAAATTAGTCGCATTTCGTCATGTACGCAACAGACAGTGGTCACGTTTGGGTACTTTTCCGCTTGTTTTTACTTCGTTCACGATTAGCATTCCGCAAATCTAACTATAATTTTTTAGCCGACATCTTTTCAAATTTTTCTCATGCATTCGATCAAAATTAAATAAAAATAGCTTTTGAAACTGTCGTATGTTTTTTTAGGCGTGGTTGAAATTCAAATGGTATATCGATTGAATGAAAATAGGATTGTACATGTGAATTCAGTAAAAGTAAAATGACACATTGTACACGTACAGGAATTCGTACGCGTTGGAAAGTGCGAAGTGGGATAAGTGATAAGACTGACATCTCTCAAATACAGTATATGACCAAATAACAAAATATTAAGAAAATTTCATGATATATCCGTCAAACGCGGGTTGGAATTGTCAAGTAGAGTTAATAAGATTTATTGACCATGGTGTTTGCAAAAAATCAGGGTTGTTTGTATAACATCTAATAATTTTATACCTTTTAAAGGCGATTTGTTTATTTAAAGGTATTATGGTCCTCAAATTGTAAACTTGTCTAGATCAAAACTTAAGCAATCAATGTATTTTTTCTAGTACTTACTGAAACAATTTTCTATTATATATTACAATAATTTGTCACTTGGTAATAATTGCTTTCTTCGCTATAATTTGGATTTATAACAAGTAAAATTTGAGAGTCCAGCAATAGTCAAGGTAAAAAATTAAAAATTGATATGATTCTCAAAAATGACGAATATGTTATTTAAAATAATAGATATGAATAGGGACATTGAAAAGTTATGTCGGCATCATCCATTGTAGTTTCTTATTTATTTTATTTATTCTATGAATTAAATAAATAGTCGAGATCGAGTACAATATTTATTTGAGGCATAAGCATGGAAGGCGAGAAGATAGCATTTCACGATACATAGACTTTTGTACCTCATTAGCCAGGATACAATGGGGTCGATAGCAAAAAGTGATACGAAAAGGACAGTTATGGCATGTTTTATTCATTGTAGCATACATCTCAATTGCGAAAATCTAATTACACTCTTTTAGTTGTTCGCTATCCGCGCATTTTCTCCAACAGCAGTGTTTTGGCCAATTTTATTTATATCAAATGCATCAGCTTCAATGGATAAAAGCTTCATTTTCAAAGTTTCTCACAAGAGTACATTCTCGCAACGTGAATATTAAAAGCTTATGAAAACAATAAGCAACATTAGATACAGAAATGAATGCACTGTAATTATAGTGTTGAGGTATTTTGGAGTCAAAGTATACATATCGTTTCAATAATTTACCAAGAAAATGAAGAAAAATGATTATCCATCGTTCGGTTAATAAATAGTTTGATGAATTTTCGATAAGAAAGAAAATATGAGAAATGCATAGTGATTGGGCGAGCGAGCGCGTCGAGGTGAGCGAAATGGAGATGGGCGAAAAAACGAAAAGGGAAAAGGGGACAACTAGTGGTAGACGTAGGGGAAGCTTTAGCTGAATCGGGCGACGAACGGCAATCGCGAAGCGATCTCGAGTGCGATCAGTCAGAGAAGCTCGCGAGTGTAGACATCAAGTAAAGAGTGTCGAAGTGGAGAGAGAGAGAGAGAGAGAGAGAGAGAGAGAGAGGAAGGTAAAGCGCGCAAGGGAAGAGGCAGTTGCCGCGGAGGAACGGAGAGAGTGCGAGGGGAAATCCGCGAGCGAGCGAGCGAGTCGCGGGGAGGTAAAGAAGGCCCCGCTGAGCCGCGTGGTGGGGGATGCGCCAAGGCAAGCGAAGGCCAGCCTCCACCGCAACGCCCGAGCCGGCCTACCGACAGTTTGGTTCGCGACCTAGGGTCCAAAGCGCGTACGTCGACGGCGAGGCCCAAGCGCTCTGAAGTGGCGCGCGCGCGCGCGCGCAAGCACGGAGTGCCCTCCGCTCGCCTCCCGGTGCTCCGGGTTAGTGCCGGTCGCCGCCGAAGTGTGCGTGCCGCTTGGGATCCCGCCGAAGTGGACGAGCGACAGTGGGCAGCATGTGACCGAGGCGGCCGCTCGACTCGGCACACCGGCGACAAGGTTGGTGGACTTGCGACGTTCGACCTCGACCGAGCAGTAACGAGCGGCGAGCTTGACGGGGGCGCGACCAAACTACCCCGGTAAAGGGCGAGGCGCGCGCGCGTGCTCGGCGGTATTTCGGCTGGGAAATGGGAGCACGGCGGCGAGAGCAATTAGCAAGTCGGCGGCGGCGGCGGCGGCGGCGGCGGTCAATCGCAAAAAAGCGGGCAGCCGCTCGCTGGCAGCGCTGGGTTTTTGCGCGCTGCTCTTGCCCCCTCCTGGCGCGCGCTCGCGCCGGCCAAGGGGGAATGCCTTACAAATAAGTGACGAGAAGGAGCTCAGGTGGCGCAGGTGCATCCAGAGCGAGTCGCCGCCGCCGTCGTCTTCGTCGTCGCAACTATTCGGATTATTCCGCGCTCGCGGCTCCCTGCGTCTCGAGGGGGACCATTCTTTTTCGATCGGTCGTCCATCCGTCCGCCGCGCGCTCTCTCGCTCTCCTCTCAGCTGCCAGCTGCCTTCGCAATTTATTCTAGCTCTCTTCCGAGAAGCCCTTCTTCGCTCGCTTTGTTCTTGCAAGCCGGCCGATCGATTCACCTATCCTGCAATGCGAATACGCGCTCCTGCCTACGTATATATCACGGGCCAGGCAGGCTCTTCGCTCGGCAACGGCGCGCTCGCTAAAGCGTCGATCGCGAGCCCGCGGCCAGCGTCGGACGAGCGCCGCTGATTACGCGATTGGCGCGTAACTTGCCACTTGCGGCCGCCGACGGTCCACCCCTCTCGCACGGGGCTCCGCGTTGCGGTCAGCTGTGCCGGGCCACTGCGCAAGGTGGAATAGCGAGGAATGCCCGCGTCTTTCGGCCTTTCCCACCTCCCTCCCCCCCCCTGTCTGCCTGCAATCTTTGCCTCTCGTGCGCCACGCACGGAGAGCAAGCGGAGTTGGTCGTCTTTTTGGAAACAAGCGCCGCTCCGTTCTCTCAATTTTTCTCTGGCGTTTTATCGAGTGCACGCGGGCATCATCGGCCGTGCGGCCAAGGCGGCGAGTGCAGTGAAAGTCACGGCACAAGTGCGCGCGAATCTGTGCCCTTCTCTCTCTCTCTCTCTCGCTCTCTCTCTCTCTCTTGCTTCGCTTTGCTTCACAAAGGATATGTATATATATATATATACGTGTGTGTGTGTGTGGAGAGAGGCAACAGGTATGAGGCTGCGTTTTGCGCGTGCTTTTTACTCGCCTTCTGCTCGCGACTGCTGCTGCTCTTCATTTATCTCTCCACGCTTCTATATCGAGCTTCAACCTTTACATCCCGCTCATTTTCTCCGCGTGAACTTATTAACTTGTGGGCGCTTGTCGCCCCGACCATGTCCTCTTCTCGTATACGCGGCGTAAAGAGCAATGCGCACCATCGCGCGTAAACGCTGCTCGATGATACCTGTCGTCGATTTTTTTCGCACTCTCGGACATTAATTAGACTTACAGCTCCAACTTCATCAGCGCTCGTCGAACGATTAGACGTTCGGCCGACGGCATTCTTTGTGTCGCTCGGCCTCTGCCGATGACAGGCTCAACGGCTTCTAATCCATCACGGCAAATATTTATTAGACAACGGGTAATTGGCAATTTAGTCTTGTACACACTTGGATTGCCGTTGGCAGCAAGAAATCAATGGGTTGGCCAGTCCAAGTCGTAGAAATGGAGCCCGGTAGGCGCAAGTGCGCGATGAAAAAAGACGAGAGAAAAAAAACAGCGTCGCACGCGAGAAGCGGTCGAGCAGGCAGATAGAGCACCGACGCCTACTCGGAATGTGCATTCGCTCCTGGCTAGAGGTAGACGCGCGCGGACGCCGTTCCGCGGCGGTGCGCTCGGCAGGCAAATTTGACGATTGCCGTGATATCGCGCGGCCCGGCGATCTACGCGGCACGAGAGGAGGAACGGGGCGGGCAATAAAACGGCCGCGAGACAGGCCGCGCGTTTGTTTGCTTAGCGCGGCGAGAGCAGTAAAAAATCAATGAGCCGGGCGAAGATCGGCAAGAGCTCGTAAACGTTGCGAGTGCGTGCCAATAAATATACGGCGGAGCTAACGACGCGTGTGTGCGTCTGTTTGGTGCCGCGGGCTGGCTCCGCGCGCTCACAATAAAGCCTCCCGAATGACAAGCTCCGAGAAAGCTGCCCAAGATAAACCCGAGTCACTGCGTATAATGCCGCTGGCATTGGCTTATCCTTGCCCATCGCGAGTACTCAGCGGTAGCCCCGCTAATGATCGCCATTAGACACCTCCGCTATTACCATCGCTATTACCGCGTACAAACTCTGCGCTTCTTTTGGGGCTTGTAAAACGCGTAAGCGACCCCGGTGTCATTGTAAATATTCGTCGCAGGCTCCTTCCCAAGCTGACCAACCGTGCTACTTGCTCGCTTCTAATCCGACGCACCCAACCCATCATCCATGGACTCTGCACGCCAACTCGTTGTTTATCAGTTGATTAACGTTAATCAGTGAGCGACTTGGCTTCTCACAGTTGTCTGAGCTTGAGAAAAATAAAAATGCAAGCCCAACGGAATAAGAAGACAGTTTGTTTGCAAGATCTGAACGGCGATACATACGAGAGTTTAGTTGAAATGAGGTTTATTCATTGTTTTAATTGGACAATCTGGAAAGTGATAGGGAGCGAGCGCGCGTGGCTCGCAGTATGCAATTCATTCTGATTTACGTGACTCGCGCGATGCAAGTGCACCCAGTTATCCATGCGTGCTATCTCGCACATGTCTACCGGCTAAGGTTCGCGGAGTAGTTCTCGGAGAAGGCCATATGGCCGAGGAGGGACGCAGACCACGGGGATTTCGTTGAAGCCGCGGCAAAAAATCCAGCGATTCCTTCTGCGGGCGCGACTCGCCTGCTGTGGGAACTCACCGAATATTTCTCTTTCGAGTCCCAACCCAACCCCCTTTCTCCTGCGAAACCGACAAAAAATCATCATCACCACTCGATCTTCATAATCTTTGCACGTTCGTTTCGCGTTCACAGCTTTCTTTTAATACATTATTTCTTTCTTTCTATTCACTCGGCTAATCATTTTACAATTTTATCAAAGTTTTACCACCGTAATCACAATTCTTCGTTTCGTATAGTTACACAATATTTTTAAATTAGTAACAATTATTATTATTATTATTCGTTGCAACGAGTATGACTGTATACGAATAGAAATAAGCGTCGATGCTGTGTCAAAATCTTTAATCAAAAGTACACAGAAGATCTTCACTGTAACCAAAATGTTATGACCTTACAAGCACTAACAGTCGTTTCCAGACAATCTTCTGTTCCAATCCACGTATTTCAAAAATTTCTTCATTGTAGAACCGCTTTATTTTTGCACTCTGTCCTATTGTGCTTTTACTCATTACTACATCGAAGATTATCTTTGGATTTTTATTATGTCTATCCACGTAAAAAAAAGTCTTGGTAGAGAGCGTCTCTTACAAATTTACGCTAGATTTAAGAACTCGTAGGTGAAATATTTGTGATGTTTGACGCAGTCGCAGTCACTGGTAATTGACGCTTATGCGCGATCGCAGCAGCCGATGACACGGCTACCAGATCAATCGGATCCAATTAAAAAATCTCACGAAGCATGGAATAACTTAAGTATCAAAAACAAAAATGAAAATATGTTGGTTATACATTATTGGCTTTTTACTGGAGACGATCGGTGCTGTTAAAGATCAAAATCCATTTTAGAAAACTTATGTTGCCATTATATATCATCTATTGTACCGATAACCCACAGTCTTTCAAAGTTTCTTATGATAAAATAATACATGTCGATATTAGTTTGATAAAGCGATTTGAGCCTCGCGTAGGCCACCTTCTCGCACATGTGTGTAATTCGATTTTGCGATACAACGTAAGCAGGCTTATTTTTTTCGAGCCTACGTACATCGAATTCCTCGTATACCAACAGCACTTTCAATCATTTTTATGCACAAGTTAAAAAGATACAACGAAGACTCGGAAATGATGGGAGCTCTGTTGGTAAAAGCCCGTTGTCTATTGATCTTTGTTGTCCACGCGATCTAGAAATTAGCTTGTTAGGAGAAACGAGGCGTTCGATACTATACGGAAGTATACGAGGCTACTTTTCTGACGTTTGACTAATTCGATGACTCGAGGAAGGATTTTTCAATATATCACCGAGCAATCTAAAGTCCTTACCCACCCAAATACTAAACCACTAAACCTTCCAAGTTTTATATTTTAGTTGGAAAATAACTTACCAAAGTCAGCGAGAACTCATTGAAAATATTTTGCAAATGGTGTATACATTACAAACTTAAATAATTTTCTCTCCGTACTGTTACGAAAACATAAAGAAGATATTTCCAAACTTTTTAAATTACTTTTATAACATATTTTTTCATTTAAATTTAGTTATTTCGATTTAGTGATCGATATCATAAGAAGAATGGAAGCAGATATCAACAATAACATTAAATAAATTTATCCAAAGAATGTCCAAACTGTGCAAGGTTGTTATTAAAAGTAAGGATTATCATTTGGATGAAAAAAAGGTTGATTTTATTTTATAGTATAATATACTTATAACTGTATAGATTTTGAATTGACAACCTCGCCTAGGTTGTCAATTCTCACGTGCTATGAGTTTGTCAACCTTTTGGCCGTGGTGCTTATATTATTTTCAGGGCAAAAAAATTTTTATAAAATTGTTCGGTATTTCCTATAAAAAATATAAAGATTTTATTGAACGAAAACTATGTAGAAAATTTTTTTTTACATTTTCATGACAAGGTGGACAGGAAATTATTTACGTTTGTTATGTGTAAGCCATTTAAAAGTATTTGAAGAGACCTTTCAAATGAGCCTCCGCTAACTTCTGTAAGTTGTTTTCTAACTAAGATATAAAACTTTGGACTTTTAGTGATTTAGTGTTTGGGTAGGCAAGGACCGGGAGTGTAGGTACGGCAAAGAAACATGAAGCCCAGGTGCTATTGAAGCAATGGCAAAAGTACAACTACTTTGATGTACTATCGTTACTTTTTATTAAGGAACTTTGGATATTGAATATTTGAAAGGACTAGTGGACAAAAAACCATTTAACGTTAACGGCAAGAGTTTAAATTGGACGAGCGCACTATACATTACCACTATCGAGATATTTCGATTAATCAGTAGTGGCATTTTATGCAAAGGTTATTCTAAAAATTTAGAGCAAGTTGAAAAGATGACGGACTATGAAACTTTCGCGTCTTGGATTCTACTCAATATAATTACGGTGAAACTCATCAAATATATAGCACGACATAGCCCTTCAAGAGATCATTTCTGTGATTGTGAAATAAGTAATCTTTATACTCATATTGATACTCTTGGTTAGAACTAAAATTGGAAAACTTTTCTAATATCCACCTCTCGAAATGTGCTTCTATTATCATTTAAAGGTATAGCTAATCCGATAAGTTTTGATCATCTAATTATTCGCAAGATGCATGACTTTTTTCTTTCACAAAGTTCTGTACAAAATATTTATAGTATACTATATGTAATTATGTTATAATAAAATATTCTAATTCTCACCAGTAATCTATTCAGAATCTGCTAAAAACTGTAATTTTATAACAAATTCGAGCTCAACGTGCAGGCGTAAAATATCAAAAAGATGTGATACTAAAATGCTATCGAAAAAATTTTTTTTATTTTTCTTAGATGTCATAGGAAAAAGTAAGAATAAGAGATAAATACGTGTGACTGGATTTGGTTAAACTGTGACATTTCGTCGTGCTCCCATGTCATTTAAACAAAGCACGTTTGAGTGATAACTTGCATATGTATTGACGTCGGTTATAATCTCAGCGTTAATTTCAATGACACTCGTGTGAAATTCTATTCAAATAATATCATAGATCGTAATTTTTGTTTTCGTTTGACTCCTTGGCAAATGAATTTAATTATTTGTAATTTATGCTGATAAACATGGACGTGGATTCCTTTGGTCTTGATAAAAAAAATGACTATTCCATGGTGTAAGTTCTAATATCCACAGTCTGTTGGCATCGGTAACAGGCTTCCAACTGTCCTTTAAAAAAATAACCCATCCGTATCACAAGCCAACATCCATAGTCATATGATTTGTTTGAAATAGGCCTCGAACGCGCCACGTTTCGACCGAAACGGTTGCTAAATTATATATTAATATAACTGCACCTAACTCAGATCTTCCTGGAAGATCCCTTTCAAGGAAATTGTAAAAAATCTTTCTCCGCAAATCTATCGCCACTTAACCATGATTTGAAAGTATAAAAATAGAGAAAATTTGAAGGAATCGCGGTAAAAATTTTCCTCATAATTAATTAATAGTCATGTATGTATGGTTTTTATCCAATTTTATCGGAAAACTGAAAAATTGAAAATCTGAGCTTCGAGAGCGAGAGTGCGAGAGTGTTTTGCAATCGATGTAACGAGGTTCCTGACGCCGTCTTTATGCTAATAGAATAATGGTACATTTGAATGCTAGTACGAGTAAGTAATTTCAGGTATGATCAATTTGTGCAATAATTGCTGATAGTTAGGACTGAAGAGTAATGCAGTACGGCCATCCGGAGTAGGTTGGATCGAAATAGAAAAGTAGCTGGGGAACTGCATAGGTATTCCCTTCTGGGAATGTTAATCTAGGCGTTTGTCGAATCACCGGCGGCTACGCTGCAGCAGTGCGCGTGCACGCTTCTTCTCCGCTTCTGCGTATCTCGGCCATTAGACTCTGCGCTGCAGCGGCAGCAACGGCAGCAGCAGCAGCAGCAGCAGCAGCAGCAGCAAAGGCTCGCGCGGCGTGTGGGAAAGACGCCGGGGGCGCTCTCGACGTTCTGCATAAGGGCTAGTAGATCCCTTTGTGATTCCTCCACCTCTCGGCTCGCTTATCTTTCTCCGCTTATATGTTTAATCTACTTTTAATGCGCCTCTCCATACCCGAGCCCCGCTCTCGCCAGCACTTCTCTTCCTTCCTTCCTCTATTCAATCTTCACTGCACTTTTCTACATCTAACGCAACTTTTGCCGAACCATTTTCGTCTCGTCGTTGTTCGTTCTTCTTCAACGTTAATATCTTTCTTGATCAACGTTGGCTCATCTAGTCGATTACTACCAACTGTTTAGAAATCGAACCACGTTGTCCAATTCAAGAGGTCAAAGCTCCTCTTGATAGCACTTTTGCTGTTCGTCGTCACGTGTCATTACCGTGAAAAACAAAACTCAAGCAGTTGCAATCACGAGTTAAGGACAGCTCTCTCGCGAAGCTGAAGGAAAGCGCAAGAAAAGAGAGAGAGAGAGGGGGGGGGGGGGGAGATTCGAGCTTCGTGGCGACATTAAACTGCAGCAAAAAAGCTCGTTCTGGTGGCACATCGAGTACGTACATTACAAAAAAGAAAAAAAAGAGAAAAAATACGGACTAGTTCTTACCCGAAGCGTGCAACAAATTTAACAACGTTTTTCTTCTTCGTCTTGACCGTGATTTATTTATAATGGTGAGAGTCAGTCTTTTTGTATCGGATCACTTTGACAGCTGCTTGAAAATAGTTGAAAAATAACACGTCGTTGAATTCGCTGTTTGTTTACTCGAAAAACACACTTTCCGAACGCAAGACGAACCTTTTTGTAGTCCGTGCATGCGTTTAAGAGCAGGTCCAACGCAACTTGTCTGGAGCTCGGCTGGGAAAGCGCAAAACTCTCGCAGGATAGTTGCCAATAGTGCAGCTGGAACAAATAGGGCCGCGAGGTTGGACGATGCTCAATAACAGGACAGCAAGCAAGTATAAATATGTAGGAAGCTAGAAGTTGGCGGCGAAACGTAGTTTTGGCTGGGGTAATCGACAGGCGGTCGTCTAGGTAGCTTGTAAATCAACTGGACTGTCTCGGCTTTTGAAGCCTCGGCGCGGCCGCTGACAGCGAGCTACTTCTATGAAGCTGTCAGCCGGCCTCGTTTATTTTTGCCGGTTTCTGGTCGCGCGCAAAACGGACGAGGCACACGGCTAAGCACCGCGCGACGGATCGAACGATCCACTTTGGTCGTAGGCGCTTTGCCTATCGAGCCGTCGCCAGTTTCACCGCGTTGCTCTCCCCTATTTTGCAAATCTCGTTAGGCATCCAGAGGCGCGCTCCGCTTCTTGCCTGCCACCGCAATCCTAATATCGCGAGCTCGAGCACACGGCCGTTCGTTCCACACCGACGCGTGCCGGTAAACAGCTGGCGCGAGCAATCGCAGCGCGCCAAGATGCCCAACGTGGTGGCGGCGGCGGTCTTCGCAGGAGCGAACTGCAAGTCAAGTGGAATACGCACGCCGACGGGGCGTCCATAGTAGCTCGCAGCCAATCTATAGCGGGGCGATCGAATCGCGGATTTTTCGCACTTTCGCTCTAACGAATCTGCGCCGGTAAATTGGCCGCCGCCGCCGCATGCGAAAGCTCGCGCGCGCATATACCTGTGGGTATATGTTTATACTCGCAGGGCCGTAAAGCGAGGCATCGCCTGGCCGCGCTCGCGCGCGCGAGCAGCATCTGCACGTCACATAAATTTTGTTGCCGCAGCATGCTAAAAATCGGCCTCTAATGGGCTGCGCCGGAGCCCGTCGAAGGTTTCAGGAAAGGCACCGTAAAGCGGGGCTACGAGCCTCGACCGGGAGAGCGAGAGGGAGAGAGCTTGCGCCAAACTGGACGTCCGCGTTTTTCGCACAGCAGCTCGCCAATTAGCGGCGTGCCGTCGCGCGCGTCCTACCGTTCGGCCGTGTCGCTCGTTTGCTTGCCCACGGGCGAGCGTCGCGCTCAACGGACCTGGCCGCTCGCTCCGCATCTGCGGATGCGATCGACGCACGCATAGAGCGGAGAGGCTGGCGCGCGGACGACGATCCGTCGCGCTGATAAAGCCGCTCGAATCGCAGATGGAGCTGTCTCGATAGGCCGAGGACGCGGATGCAATTTGCCCGCGATTCGCGCGCTCGAGCGCTCGGATCGGTGCCGACTCCGGGCTCGACTGTATCGCGGCCGCATCGCCGCGGCGCAGTGACGAACGGGCGCTCGGCCGATAATTGCCGCGCCGCGGACGCGATCGGCGGACGGCGCGTGCCGCCCCTCGTCGGGCCGCTTATTAGAGGAGGCGCGCGCGGCGACCACTGACGCAGCCGACACTCACCAGTGGCTCCGAATTTTCTGCATTGCAGCATGCTGTCCACGCAAGCCGTGACGTTCAACCTGATAAACGCTGCATTTCTGGGGGCGCCGTGCGGCCAGTGCCGGGAGCTCTGCCCCAACGGATACGTGCCGCACTTCTGGAGGTAAGCCACTCTCGCGTCCCCATCGAATTGGGCGACCGCGAGCCAACGAGTCGTCCGCGACACTTTGTCGGGGCTTTCCCGAGTGCGCCGCTCGCGAGGCGCGGCGTCGATTGATTTACGATCGTCGGCATTAGCCGCGAGTGTGCAATGAGCGCGGCTGCGCCACGGGTGGGCACTCGCTGCCCGCAACGACCGACCGATGCCACAATTAAATGACGCGGCGCTTTAATGGCGCGCTAACTACCTCGCAGCCCGTTGGCTCCGCTTATCGTCACCACTTGGCGGCGTCTCCGCCAATCAAAATTCTTGCCCACCTGCTTCTTTTGCTTTATCTTCCATTTTCATTAAGGTGCCTGCTTCCGCAGCCGTCGACTGGTTCGCGTGCGATCGGCAATTGGCAAGAAGCAGCATCGGCCAAAGGAGAGCAAACGGAGAGGCCAGGTTTACTTTACAGGCGCGCGTGGGCTTGAATAGCGACTCGGCGGCTGTTCGGTAAAAATGATCGGATTCCTCGGCGAGCGAGCGATGAAAGGGCCCACTGTGCGCGGCTGCGAAGCCAGCCGAGCACAAAAGAAGCGCGCGCTCGGAGCTCGTCGTCCTTCTTCGGCGGCGACAAAGCTGTGCGTGGACGGTGACGAGGCCCGCTGCCCGGAACGAATTCGACAAAAGGCGCGAGGCGCGTCGAGTGGCGGACGAGAAGAGCCGAAGGGCCGCAGAGCCGCAGGGCCGCAGGACGAGTGGAGCGCCTTGATCGATCTCTCGCCCAGGACGAGAGATCCGCCGATCCGCCGGCAAGCGGGGAGAGTGCAGGGCGCACTTGGCAACGACTTCGGAGAAGAGCGTCGGCCCAGTCGTGGGTCATGGGTCGCACGCACGCTCGAGGGCCTCTCGGAGGGCCTCGCTGCCGATCGCGCAGCTCTCGCGAACACATAACTGCTCGGTGTCGGCGCGGAGGAGCGGACGGAGAGGCAGTTGGGCATCGGCAAAATGGAGTGCGGAGTACGGCGCAGACCAGGGAAGAACGGCGCGGAGCGTGAGAGAGGCACATGGGCAAGACGGAGTGGAGGGAGAGCGTGTAATTAACATACCAAAGCTGGCCGTAATGCCCGCGTTCGCGCAGCCTGTGCCTTCGGAGCAGCTCTCCGGCTCGTGCTCGCGTATGATGCGCCGGCGAATCGAGGCAATTGCCGGCAAGCGCGCTTTTGATTTAGAGGCCGAGCCGCGGCCCGCCTATTTGCTTAGAGCTTCTTTGTTGCGATTGCGCTCGCCGCTTTCGCACCGCCGCGAAGCGGCGCGCAATCGATCTGCTCGATGAGAAATCCGAGCGGCGCCGGGCGACGGTCAACGGGCTTGCCTCGCGCGACGCACTCGCTCGCGACGCGTCCCTCTCTAGCCTCGTGCGCGTTCGGCTTTTCATTTTTGCCGCTGAAATTGCCTTCAATTAAGCGGCTCGACTATCCGCCAATCGTAAATTGCCATGCTACGCTAATGGCAAGCTCGCGATAAAGGCGCCGTATACGCGCGCGTGGGAAACGAGGATTTGATTAATCGGCGCCAATTAACGTAGCTGTTAAAAGGCAATTCGGCCAGAGGGATCTTTCGCGCGGCTGAAATTCGAACGCCGAAAAGACTAGCCTAGGACGAGCCGAGCAAGTGGAAGGGCTGAAAAAAGTCGGGCAAAGCGATTGCCATCCCTCTCCTTTGCTCTCCTTCGCTCGCGTGACGCGTTGCGCGATTCTTATCGGCTCGCACCTCCGAGTGGAATAACGCGAGATAGCAGCAAAGATGGATCGGCTCGCGGATAGTTAAAGTTCATTAGAGCTCGCGCGCACTTCGGCCTGCGCGCGCGCGAGTCCCTCAAAGTGGGCTGGCTCCGATGAAACTTTATCTCCCCGCCGGCGAGCAGACTCATTCCTGTTCCTGTTTAATTAGAGAAACGCCAACGAGCGAATTATCCTTTTTATTTTTTTCGACGAGAGCCCTCGCGTGGAGTTTTCCAGCGATGCCGCGGCCATAACCCCGCCGATATAAATTTTCGAATTACACTTGTACGAGCGCCGCGTACGTTCCCTTTCCGTTGCACTGGCGCGCGTGCGAGCGATTGCTACACCTGCAATTTCATTTTTTTTTTTTTCCTTCTCGCAAGCCATAACCCGGTTTTTAATTTACTGGATTAACCTCTGGCAAATAAGCAGGTTGCGGTTTCTCGACTGCCTTGGTTTCATCGAAAAACGTGTTTACCCGCAGACGATCGACTCGGGTCAACAACGGTTCGTTAAAGTTCCTTCGGTCCATCGCGTCGCGCAACTCGCGATCGAAAGTCGAATGCCACGGTCGCGTGCCCGACTCGGCTGTGAACGAAGAACGCGCCACGCGTCGGCGGGCGTTGTCGCTCTAAGGCCCGTCGCGGCGATTAGACGCATTATCGCGAGTGACCGCTGTTCGAGTCTCTCTCCCGATGAGCCATCGACGGAATCCGGATCGGATATGCGAGCCGGTCGCTTGGACTCCGTCGACCGGCTGCGCGCTTCGCCGACACTCTGCCGCGAAGAACCGGCAACTGGCATCGCAGGCACGCTTCGTGCATTTCTAGGACTCGTTAATTTAATTGATCTTTTTCAAGCGTCTCGCGCGCTTCGTTCGAACGACTCGTCGGTTTTGCGCTTCTCTCAAAGGAGAAACGACCTTTAATAAAGTTCGGGCCTCGATATCGATGGAATATCTCGGCGACAGTCCCGACCGGCGTATATTTTACGAGGCCATTACGAAATTGAGCCAAGTGGCAGTTTTCTGGGCCGTTAATTGATCGGGGAGTCGTGTGCGGCGCATGCGATCCGACGTATCAAAGGCCAAATTCAGTGGTGCATCCGAGCAGTGCTATCGGCGACTCGATTATTTTTGTGGTCCTCGGCGATCTTGACGCTAGCGGCAGCGGCCGACGAGCGGAGCCGCGAGCGCCGTTAAGCGCGACGATAAAGTCGCCGAGTTTAATGCCCACTTTAAGGCACAAGAGATATCTGGTCGTTTTCTCGTTCTGGAAGGCGCGCGCGTGCGCCTCCGCGTCGTCGCGGCGCTAATGAGATGCGATCCGGCCTTGATTGGCCGGCCAATCGCGAGAGGGTCGAATGTCGAGCTCGCGGTTACGAGCTGGCCCGCTCGACGAGGCTTCCTCTCGATCGCCGAACCGCTCGCCGAACCGCTCGCCGGCTCATTAGCGCGGCTGCGTGCTTTTAATTGTCGTCGGCCGGAATGCGCTCGCAGCGAGGCACGGCGCATTCCATATTTAGCGTTGCCGAGCGCTCGAAAAAGAGCAAGGCGATATCCGGCAACTGGCCGCGCGCCGCTTCGACTCGTTATGAAGTTATGTTGGCGGCTTTTAATGCGGGTTAACGAGGCGGCTCGCGGAAAGGACGCGCGAGCTCCACGTTTCGCGGTTGGCCGAGCCGATCGACGCCCGCGGAGCGCCCTCCAAAGAGGCCTCTGCTTGCGCCCACTTCGGAGGCTTGCCCGATGGCAATTATCAACGGCCTTTGCCCGGCAGTCGGTCGGCTCGTTTTTGCCACGTACGCCGGCGTTCGCGCGAAGAATAGCGCGGCAGCGCTAACAAGCGACAAATACAATTAATTACCAAGGATGAAACGGGGCAATTGGCAAGAAGCGGAGGATTGTTGCTGCCGCCAAGTAAACAAGACGCGGGCCGTTGTTCGGATGCCAGCCGCAGGACGAGGATTCCCGGACTACCCGTCCCGGCGGCGGCGGCGGCGGCGGCTCCTCTTGCCCGCTGGAATGGCACCGATTAGCGCGTTTCAAAGCCTCGGTTTGGCGATCGATCTCTCGCTCCTTCTTTTCTCTTCCGTTCCGATTGAGCGACAACGAATCCGGAAAGAATTTCATTATCGCGCGCGCGCGCGCGCGCACGCCAACCGAGCGACGCCTGCGAGTACGCCGAATAATTATAATGAGTTTTTCCGAGAAACCGAGCGTTGCGCCATGTTTGGCGGCGCGAAGCGTTTCCCTGCGCGCGCGCGGCAATAAATTTCAGCCGCATTCCAAATGTTGTTATTGACAAAGTGTGACGGGCCTGAAATAAAATGCCCGTGTGTATACTGTATAACGGCGACAACGCGAAGACTCTATAAATACGCCTTTTGCTTTTATTTGCCGATGAATAATTCATCGGATGCCAAGTTTTGCACGAGATCAAAAACTCGCGCTTGCTTTTTCCACTTGCTTTTGCATAATGAGACCAGTTAATACACTCGGCTTATACACCTTATCACGCGAGATTAATGAGCTGTTCGTGTATAGCCTTATATACTATTTGCATCGATTATCGCTCCGCGTCATCGCAGAATTCTCAGTCGAAAGATACCGGGGCTCGGATTGGCTGGAATTAGTCGATCTGGCAAATTCAACCGGCAGTGCGCGCTCGCTGGAAGATCGATCGGTCGGTGGTCTGGTGCCTTCGCGGCTGTTCCGGGAAAGCCTTTCTCCGACGAACGATCGCAACGAGTCGCGGGGCATTATCGAGAACTCATTACGCCTTGACTTGGCTCTGGAAATAATGAAAGGTGCGATTAAAGGCAGTTCGAGCCAGACTACGGTTACGGGCCCTTTGGCGGTGAGTGTCAATCGGGCAAAAACAGCGCGCGATCACGCGCTGCGCTAATAGACGCTCTCGACGGGCGCACAGTCCGAAAGCACTCGCCAGCGCGTTTGTGCGCGCGAACGAGGCAACGCCCCCGGCGGCTCTACCGAGGAAATCTGCCGATTTGCGTGCCGGTGATTAAATACAAAAGGCTCGGACGGCAGAGTCGAGAGGAAAACGAAATGTCACGTCGGTCAAGTCGACCCGGATAAATGTGCATGCTCCTGCCGCCGGTCTACGCGCTGCGCCAGATGCTCGCTCGTTTATACCTTGTACTCGTCATTCCCCGATGCAGCAACCGCTAACGGTTAAAGTCTGCCGGAATAACCCAGCAGCCCAGACTGTTATTTCACACGCGTGTCATTCGCAGCTAGCTGGACGATTAACAGTTCCTCTCCTCTGCGTGCCGACGGCTGCTTGGGTAAAACCTACCCAATCAACGGCTAAGCTTTTCGCAAACCTTGTGCGCTTCTGCTCTGTTTGACGAGTGTACGAGCTGTTTGCACAATGTCTTTCGATGGATCTTACCAAGATGGCCGGGCCGCCGCGTCCTTTTGGAAAATTCAAAAGAAAACTGGCAGACGCTACTTGCTATACTTTTATTTCCATGCTGCGCTAAAGTGCCGAACACTTTACAACGTGCTGCTTTCCACGCATCCACGTATAATTATACCGCAATAACATTGAACGAATTGCGATTATTGCCGGCAATTGCTGTTTACGAAAGCTGCAATTTTTCCAGAGCCCGAGAGCGCGCTCTAGTCTACTTGATCGTCTTGCCATTTAAACCAATCGAGTTTTCTACGACAATTTATCTATATGGCCAATCTCTTTTATATGCTTACGGTGCACGTGCTAATAAGCAACAAATATTCCTCGTTGGTATATTTTTTTCATCAAACTCGTACATTATTCTTTGATATAAGCGATGTGTAACTCGAAGGCAACAGTTAAGATTAGAAAAGGTTTGAAGCGATGAAATTTTGGAAAGGTATGAGTTGCGAGTACACGAGTAAACACAGGACAGGCAGAGAAGCGTAACAAGGGATAGCAATAAAAAAAGCAACCAATGAAGCGCGTCGGCATTCAGGGAGGGTAAAAAAATGGGAAATTTCAACAAAGCTCGTCGAGGGCATTTTTCAGAAGGCGGTGCACGGGGAGGGGCATTAGGAGTAATGAGGGCTGCGGCTAGAGAGAGAGAGTTGGTGTGGATAGGGCTGGTCGAAACGCACATATCACGCTCGATCGAGGCGCGCAATATGCAGTAAAGCACGCTCGCGGGGCTGCGTTGTGCGGTGCAACAATGAGAGCGCGAGTCAGCAGCACAACGAGCATAAGCCTCGTTAATCAAGAGAGCGCGCCCGGAAAACGCGCGTTTAAGCCTTGACAAACGAGCGGCGCGCATTCGGCCAAGGGGTCCGATCGCCGACAATGAACCAGCCCCTCCTTTTGCCTCGTCGCTTTTTCCGCGGGTCCGCGCCCAAATCGCCAAATAGCACCTACACTACGTCAAGCCATTAGCGCCCGTCGAACATTTCGCTGCCGAGTGCGCAGTCTGTTTCGAGCCGGCGTATCTCATTTGAGCATTTTTTGACTCTCACTTTCATTTTTTCTTAAGGCCAACTTTCTTTTCATACACTTCGATCCCGCATAAAAAAAGCCTTGCTCTTCATACTTCCATAACGTTATCCACCGAGGCGTGCCCTGCCTGCGCATAAAACTGCGCAAAACTTTGGAGATTCGCGATCAATCGACCGAATAATGATTTGGCTGCAACCTACGACTAGCTCATCTTATATTTTATCCACTTTATTGCAATCTCTAACGCCGATGGAAAATGAAAATGAAAATGAAATGAAAGGGAGAGGCTGGCGTGAGAAGACAAAATTATTCATAATGCCGGATTAGCGGTGGTTAGCAACGGGAGCTACACGGCCAACGAGGGAATAGAATTTCCCAAAAGATAGAGAGAGAGAGAGAGTGTGAGCTATGGAATGCGAGAGGGGAGGAAAATTGCGGATCAACGAACTAATCGCGAGGCCGCTCCATTTAATTTCTGCGCCCTCGTCGACCTCTCGTCTGCCGTCACCCTCACCTCGCTCTTGCTGCGTACACCACTAAATAAATTTACTCGCATCAAATCTTCAACGACCATCGGCGATTCCATTTTTTAAATTCCTAATCTTTCATAAAACCGATATTTCTGCGCTGTTTACTCCATTCTTTAAAGGCTCAACTTTATTTTTGTCATTGATCTGACGATTTGGTTTTCATTTTCGAAAACGATGCCATTTTGAAGCAGACAAACAACACTAACACGTTCACACCATTGTTAATCCCCTAGTGCTCCATTCTCTAGAATCATTTTGGTACGTTTCATCACGTTGGCACTGATTCACTTTCCCTGTCGAGTTTCTGTTGTTGTTTACACGGGATATTCTTTGCCGTTAGAAGTATCATAGTAGCGTTTGGCACTGGGCGAAACAAGCAACAACTTTCAGTTTATTTCATATCAATCCACGATGGGGAAACTCAATCATGATAACTACTTTTACAAATTGGTAAGCGCGTGTAAAATAATCAGTCCGTGCATACGTTAGTATTTTTACATTAATCAAACACTATTATATTCTACAGACTTGATTGAAGGTGTCATGAATTATCCAGGTAAGAGCAATAGGCTTTCACCACCGAATTACGGTGTCAAAAAGAAGAGGAAAGATACTAGCATCCCTGCACATCTATCTATTGATAACAACAGCAGCATCGACATCTACAGCGAGACGAATCGCTTGTTTCCATCAGATTCCTTATCAAAATCCAATGAAATCGTGGTCGTTAGTAATCCTTTTGACGATAACCTAGTTACTGTACCTGAATCGACACGAATTCACGCGATCGATGAATTCACGGAGATAATACATATCATGGAAATACAGAAGCGAGGTCTGCATCGGGATCATCTGCAGCAGCAGCATCATCAACTTCAGCACCATTGTCATCACCACCAGACTCATCAACAACATCATCATAAGCAATGTCATCAGTATCATCAGTGTGAACAGCTGCAACATCAGTTGCAGTATTGTCAGCACCAACAGCACCAACAAAAGCAATCCCAACACCACCACCAGTATCAACAGCAACAGCAACAACAGCACCAACAACAGCAATACCAACACCACCACCAGCATCAACAGCAACAGCAACAACAGCAATACCAACACCACCACCAGCATCAACAGCAACAGCAACAACAGCACCAACAACAGCAACAACAACAGCAATACCAACACCACCACCAGCAACAAAAGCACCAACAACAGCACCAACAACAGCAATACCAACACCACCACCAGCATCAACAGGAACAGCAGCAGCAACAGCAACAACAGCACCAACAACAGCGATACCAACACCACCACCAGCATCAACAGCAGCAGCAGCAGCAGCAGCAGCAACAGCGACAACATCACTACCAGCATCAACAGCAACAGCAGCAGCAGCAGAAACAGCAACGACAGCATCTGCATCGACAAGAGAATCTACATTCACAACAGCAGCGGCATCAGCGTCTGTATGAGCAACAGAAGCTGCATGAGCAACAGCAGCTGCGTGAGCAACAGGAGCTGCGTGAGCAACAGAAGCTGCGTGAGCAACAGCAGCTGCGTGAGCAACAGAAGCTGCGTGAGCAACAGCAGCTGCATGAGCAACAACAGAAGCAGCAGCTGTCGGTGAACGTGGATTGTACGCATATGTCAGTGAGCACCCACTCGTCTATGCCAAGTATTCATACGGATTACCGGTCTTCTATTTTTAACTTCCCGGTTCCGAAGCCTAGTATCTGGAACCCCGATTCAATGAACATCTTGACTCGTATGCATATGAGTATGAACAACATGAACATGGATGAGCCGGCAGATGAGTTAAAAATGCGGAAATTCGTGGTGAGAAGTATATTGGAAGCGTTAGGGATAACTAAGAACAAGAGAACACCCGAAGATGTTTCCTCGAGTGCAGGACGGGAGCAATCTGATCAGTCATTGTACAATATAGAGGAGGATGAGTTGAATAATAGCTCATCTGAGGACCCACTGTTATTATCCTATTATACGGATAATTCCCCAGAAATACTGAGCTCGGCGAACGACAAAGACCTGCCCTTCAGCCTCGACTTCGACGATCTGGACCCGGAGCTCGGTATCTGCGGCGACTGCAATATTGTCATCTATTACAGTGACGAGTCCATAATGTGCGGTGCTGGCTGTAAGACTTGGTTTCACCGCAAGTGCAGCGGCTTGACCTTCATGGCTCATCACTTGCTCCTCACGACCCCTGACACCAAATGGATCTGCGACTACTGTTTCCAAGTCGTAGAGCTACCGATTATCCATTATAAAAACTGAACGTACCTTTTAACATATGTGACGAGCGCAAGCCTTTAGTTTCTTTGTTTCTTCTTGTATCTCGAACTGCGCAAAAATTATTATATTGCATATTGTGCGCTTATGCGAGAAAGCTAGTTTATTTTGTGACGCTCTTTGCGAGGTAATAAAAGTAAATAGAGGCTCGAATTCAGAGGGTTCGTATAAATCGCTTTGATGTAAGTACTGTGCCTTTCATATCACGTAATCGGGGGTGGGGGGGGGGGGGGGAGACGCGTTGTTTGATTTATAGCCCAGAGGGAGGCAGGGAGGGAGAGAGAGGTGCACGATTAGGTGGTCTTTGAGAAGGAGGAAGCACGCCGGCAAATGAAAGAAAGTGTGAAATAAAAAGAGAGCAGCGAAATAACGAGGTAAAGCTCCGAACGTGTTTTGTGCGAGAATTATAGGCGGGAAGCGAACGAGGAACGAGCGATTGAATGGTGCCGGGGGTTGAAAAGTCGAGCAGAGTGGGCATGGTGCGTGCAGACCACGCGGGGGACGTTTACGAGTGGCCTGGGCCAAAGTTACGATCTCGATACTGCAATAAGTACCTCTCGAGCTTTTCTTCTTCTTCTTCTTCTCCGTTCGGCCTCACCTCTTACCAATTGCGTTTCCGTTTCGGCTTGCGCCGCGTCGCCCGTCGCCCACAACAGCCCCAAGCCGTTTCTCTCTGTCTTCTTCTCCGCCAAGAAATATTATTTAATTAACGGCCTCTCTGCGAGATCTGCGGAAGCCGAGGCGGCCGTAAATAAAATCGTTACTCGTTCGCTTGGAGCGCGGCATCGTCGTCAGCCCGCCACGCTGCCAGTAGCTTTCGTTACTTCGCCACTGGGCCGCTGTTGCGCCAGTCGTGCCAAGTCCGTTGGACCACGGTAGTACAGCTAATGAAACGTACGATCGGCTTGCGCGGGCGCCATTAGTCAAGGCTATCTCACGCTGACACGGTCGAGTGGCGCTCGTGCCGGCTCGTTTATTTCAATATGTACAGCGTAGTCGCGGAATACGCCGGTGGCTGGACTGTCCGCACGGGTCGCGGAGCACGCTTCGGCTGCTAATTGTACGAGCGGCGCGCCGCTTTGGATTGCCAGTCAAGTAGCCTGCCGCCATCAACACCCTCGTTCTATTACCCAGGCCAATAATACTTTATAGATTTTACGCTGATTACTGGCACTCGAGGTGGCTCGCGAGCGAGGACGGACTTTATTGTACGCCACGATAATGGATTTGAAATGGAATTCGGCCGTGTTTCGGCAAGGCAAATGACAAAGCGGCGAGCGCGCGACCGCAACAAAGCCAGCACAAGTTGGCTTTAATGGAAGTTTCGATTAGGGGGACAATTATCGTGAACGGGGAAGGAAATCCTAAGTAAGCGGGAGAATGGCCTTAATTTGAAGACGAAAAAAGGAAGTTTTGCTATATATAAGGGCTGTCGGGCGGGCGGCTGGGCGGCAGGGCGGCAGGGTTTTAACGACTGTGGCGCTGCCGCGGAGCACAAGAATCTCTGCCTAATTACCCGGCAAAAGAGATTTCGTTTCGCGATCGTGCGGACTGTTGCGCCATGCTCCGGAGGCTCGAGACGCCGACGCCGGCGTACGAATGCCCAGAGGGGGTGGCCTTTAATAAGCAAAGCCACAGCCCGTGATATTGGTCTGTCGCCGAATCCCCGGCAGCGAGCTTTATTTACGGCCTCGGCCCGGCGCAATTTTTCGCCAACTCCGGGCCGAGGCTTGCACTTCGATGCGCAGCACGTTTAAGAGCGAAACGACGCTCGCGCTTGCGATTACATCCCTTTGGACTGACTGGTATTCGCAACAAACAGCCGTTCGGCTATTTCGCCGCAGTGAACATTTAGCAGCTATTGGCGTAGGTGACGTTGTAGTGGCGCTCGCAACTGGACAGGTATCCGTTGCCGCTGTCGCAGTCCGTCAATCGCAGCGACTTGTCAAAGCACAGCTGGACTTGCGACAAATACTGCTCGTGCTTGCCCTGAAAGAATTGGGAATTTAGGGAGAATTGGGAGCGAGTTATTTGGACTTGTGTGCGCTGGTAGACGATACCGACCTTTATGCGTATGCATTGCACGAAAACGTTCACACCGAGTTTCCGCTTGATGGCCCCGTGCAGGGAATCGAGCGTATAATTGTTTCCCGCGAGAATGTTGGCTTCCGCGAGTATGCCTCCGAGGTTGTAAGCGTCGAAGAGCCGGAGCGAGGTTGAAAAGTACTTTGTCACGGTATCCGTGGCCTTGAGATTCGAGCAAGTCCCATGTTTTTTCCATTCGTGAGACCAGAATGAATCGTTGTCGTACATTGCGCTCGGCCATTTCTCGTTTAATTCTTTTCTCAGCTCGTTCACTAAGCTCGCTTCGTACTTGCTGCCGCTACATTGGTACGGTCCCGTATTGTTCCCATTTGACGGCCAAAGCCCATGAATAGTCCACTTGTTTACCGCTTTAGATACCGCGCAGGACGTACACGCTCTTTCCGAGTTGTGCTGTTTACTGCGAAAATTCTTACAAGCCGTCGGAGACCACATTTCAGCCAGTTTCACTGTTTCAAAATCATTTCTATGCCCGTTATCGTGCTCTTGTGCAAATCTGTTGGAGTCGAGCATACGTTAGAACTATGTCATTGCTTATCTAATCCTAATTTTATATTTTTATAATGTATACATGAGAATTATTCTAAAATGTACTTGTCTAACCTTGTTCTTATTTCTTCTTTAATCGACGCGAATCTGTTAATCAACTGAGACACTGAAAGACTAAGAGAAAATCCTCGTTATAACTAATCGGTAAATAATATCATCACTAATATTCATCTTACTTTGCATATCCACAGGCACAACTAGTGAAATATATTAAAAATAAAATAAAACTTTGATTCCATCTAAACATATTATTGTATGAAATATATTCAACGCGGACGTGATATATTGCAGCTGCGTGGAATACAAGAGACTCGTTCAATAAAGGCGCCGTCTGGTGTTTTATCACTTGTGCCAAGTATTCTTAACCGTACGTCAGCCTATTATTTTGAAACCTCGTAATTGATGTTATTTAATCAGCTTGTTAGGTTCTGCTTAAAATCACATATCGCTTCTATTTAATGAAGTTGAATTATTATTACGGACTGAAAATAAGAATTCTCTGTTTTTACAATTTTCTGTGCGTTTTATACGGTTTTCATTAGAGCGATAACGGTGGTTATTTCACACGTGTTATCCAATCTTTGTCAAATTTCTAATCTATGGCTTTGTGTATTTTTCTTTTCTATGATTAAGCATTGACTTACGCGACAAATAATTGGACTGTAGAATATTGCCAAACTAGGGTATAATTAATTCTTATCGTAATGTCATGTATATTCTTTGTGGGAGCTCACGAGCTCTTCGCCTTGTAAAACTTGTAGAGACGATAAACGTTGAACGAGGCTAGCTAATGTGTCAGAAACGTCGACGAAAAAAGATGCTCGATGAACCACGTCCAAGGCAAGCTGCGGAATGGTGCGGAATGGCGCGGAGCGCGAGGATTGGCCGAAAGTTGAAAATGAATCGGAGTGCAGGGCGGCGTAAGCGGTCAGGTCGATTGCTCGTTGCTCCCACTCCACAGCCACCAACTTTTCTAATTTCTCTCCGTGGACCTTCTCGCTTTAGCATATTTATCTGCCTTGAAGTTTTCGGGCTTTGATTCGGCCGTCGGGGCCTTGGGAGAGCAAGTCGGCGCGCAGCCTCGGCTGGTCGTTCGCCGACCGATCCAACAATTGTTGCTCATCCAATCCAACGTTGCAATTTTTCGTAAGCGCAACCCGAAGGAACAAAGAAACAACGAGAGACAGATTTATGACGTCTTCTCTTCTTGGAGTTTAATAAGGGTCTTAGTCGAGTTTTACTTGTACAGGGGATAGACGATTACTCGCGCGCTCTGTGCCATTTCGGATATCGGTTTCGCAACGTTTCAGGCGTGATAGCGAAACGAAGCACTAACCCGGGCGTCAGCCGCGCGCTGCCACACACAAATAAGCGACGCGGCTCGCGCTAATCCGCCGAGCGGGAATTTCCTCGGGGAGGCCGGCCATTGTGCAACGAGCATCGATCTTCTTCGGCGAGACGGTCAAAGCGCCCGAGGAAATTATATGGGATTCCAAGTGGATACGTGCTCTCGCGCGAGAGGAGCGAGCTTTGTTTTCGGATCCAATCGCCGATCTCCACTGCACACTCGATGCACGCGCTGAAAATTCATTTTCCCGGCGCGATTTTCGCTCATTTTATTGCCTGCCTCGCAGCCACGTCCACGTCCAGTCGACTTATCGCTGCGGCCTCATCGCGAACACGTTTTCACTTTTAATTTTCAAAGGTGCTGCTTGCCTGCGCGCCGCCTAGCTAGCTGCGCTCTCCGCCTGCGCGCGCTGCACTCCACCTTTTAGCTTTTGCATTTACATTAATTTGCTGCGGGACCAAAGATTACATCGGAATTCCTGGCTAATTAATGCCGAGCTCGCGTTCGCTGGCTCATCTAACATTTTAACTTATTCATCTATTCGTTATCTTCGCTGGGCCACTCTTGCAAAGTCTGCATTGATTTTTCATTACCCAAATCGTGGGACAGCAAATGGGATATTCTGGCAACTCTAGGCCATTGATCATCGCGAACTCGTGCAAATTTTCCAAGTCATCATTCGTTTCGCCATCGCGAAACAAGGATTCGGCACGATTTTCAAGGAAAATGTTTTTGACGTGTGATAAAAACCGATTTGCCACTTCAGTCACGTTGTATATTATAACTGAAACTCACAGTGATGACGGAAAAACCTGTTGTTAAATAGTTAATCAATAGAAGGCAGGTGTACGAAGCAAAGTGATTCGCCCGACGTAGATCTGTTTTTTCACGTCCGTGCTGAATCCGCAAACGCAAAGATCTATGCAGTGCATAATTAAGTCGCGCACTGGCGACAATGCCATTTCCGAAAGCGTTTGCTCAACAATTTTCAATTCATTTTTCTCGTCCCTTTAATTTCCCATGAACACAATCGCAGATGTAGAACGTATAAATAGAAAAGTCTTCAGCCAATAGAACTGCGGATATTTTTCTTAGCATTGAAATTGACTGCAGCAACAATTGATGTTTCTACCTATTGGTTCCGCTAGCTGTGGGAAATGGGCAAGTCGTATTGGATTTCATACAGTATAAACGACATTGATAAAATCCATTGCGATATTTTCGCGTATGTTATTTTCCGGCGGCAAGCTGGCAAAGACCAGTTTAATTAAATTTGTGTTTTGAATGACAGCGACTTGAATAATGGCCAGCAGGAGCAAATTGGAATGGAGTTGCGCCAATAAACCATTAGCAAATTGAAAAATGTCACGAGTCTGCTTGCTATTCAGCGGTGACGGCGGCGACGGCGGCAGCAGCAGCAGCAGCAGCAGCAGCACTCGAGGTATGCGAGTGAGGTGGTCGAAGAGGGTGATTCTTTCTTATTTTCTCGAGTGACGAGGGAAGAAGTTTGGGTGGGTGTGTGCGTGCCGCCTCGAAGCCGAGAACATAGCGTAGGCGTGTGCTCGCGAAGACAGAAGCCGCACGCAGGACTTTGCGAGCGCAGCGCACCTCGGGGGCTTCCTCTTTTTCCATCTCTGCTTCTTTTCGACTCGTCGGACTGCTGCTTAGTCACGAGGCGGAACTCGCAGTGGCAGAGCTTGCGGCGGCCACTCTCGATTCGCAAACGAACTGCAAACAGGGAAGCGCGACTCGAATGAAGCTGCGCTTGGCGCTTCATTTATTCGAGTTCTCGATCGATGATCGGAAGTCGGCCAAACATCGTTGAGCTGCGTCGGCGCAGCGCGCGGCTGCAGTGACTTTTCGGGACGCGATTGGCAATGTCGGAGAGAAGTACGGCGAGTGTCTGGGGTACGAGTAGCCAATGAACGCAGCAACGGCAGAGGCGAAGAATGGAAGAAAGAGAGGAAGAGATGCACAATGGCTAATGAGGCTGTTGTTGGGATCCGGGGAGAGAGTAAGTATGAGCGTGCAATGCAGCCGCGACTTTTCTTTGGGCGCTGGGGCGCGCGCGCGCGCGCGAGAGGAAGAACGAGAGCTCGAATTACGTCGCTTCGGGGGGCTTTGATTCCTTCTCCGCTGCCGATTGATGCCGCTCTCCCGGCTACCGGAAATCAGCGCGAGATTGCCGTGCGCAGCCTCTAGCCAGCCTCCCCCCCCCCCCCCCTCTCTCTCGCTGCGTCTGCACTTGGCGCTTGCTAATGCGGCGTCGCTCTGCTATCTCGCGCTTGTAGCGTGTGCACGGCCGGGCGCGCATTTCTTAACGCCCGCGAGATCGCCTCCGCGAGATTGGCTCGATCCTATTGTTCCTCGTGGGCGTCCCTCTTCCAGGCCGAGTCCAGGCCAGATCCGATTAGGGCGAGCGCGAGGCGGCTCGAATGGCGAAATTCGGGAGCGGTGCAAGCGCGCGCCCGCCAGGGATACGTCCATCGGCAGCTGCTAACTCGCGAGCCGAGCCACCGATCGAAAGTCGCGCACTGCGAGTCAGAGAGGCAAAGCGGACGCGTCGAACGGGGGATCGGAACGAGGGGGGGAGGGCAGGACGGCGAGTCGGATCGAGCGGCAGATGCGATAAGAAAGATGTACGAAGAGAGATAGAGAAACATGATGCGAAGGGCAGAGGAGACGAGTAAAAAGATGAAAGAGATCCACGGAAAGTGAGTTTTCTGCTGTCCGTCGCTTGTTCTTTGTGCTCGGCAGCCGGACTCGTTTTCTCCGCGCGCGCCGCGTGTCCCTCTTTATTGACGTTTTTGCCTTAGCCTTTTTCTCAGGCTCCGCGAGGCCGCGCGCCGTATAGCGCTCCGCGTAGCTGCCCCGCTCGCGACCTGCAGGTCGATCGTCACTCGCGTTGTCGCTGCTGCCGGACGGCGGAATCCAGCTAATCGGCGCCCGCGACGCGAGACGCTGCCCGACAAGTCAATGGAAGTTGCTGGCCGGGTAGTGGAGTCTGCGACGTGGGTGCGAGTCGAGAAGGAAAGACGGGGATAAGACAAAGAACCGACTTGCGAGTACAAATTCGATTTTCCGGCTCTCTAGACCCCGTAGGTTTCGCGAGAAAGGCCTTTCGCCTTTTCCCTGCAACTTTTCCTCTTCTTGTCTCTTTTTTGGACCGTTGCTGCCGTCTAAGTTCGTTAGGCGCTTCTATTCGCGTCTCTCTCTCTCTCTCTCTTTCTGATCTACAGACTAGCGCTTTTGAACCTTCCGCGACTGACTGTGCTTTTGGTCTGTCTTACCTGTCTGTCGCAGCACTCATTGTGTGGCTGTGTTTAGAAAAAAAGTGAGAAACCAAAGGCGAGTCGGCTGGAATCCGACGAATGAAATGATAACCGAGCGAGTGTTTTCCCACGAGCTGACGTCGCGCACCCGTAGCCGTTGGCTCGTTCTCTGTTTTTACGAGTGCATAGCGGCTCCGCCTGGCTTAAATTTGCATCGGCTCGAATACAGGGCTGCCCCCTCCTCTTTCGTCTTCCTTCAAAGTTTCACGACGGCACGCGGTTGTGCACCGCAGTGCGATGGACGACATCGCGAAGTGGACGGTGCACAATCCGAT